AGGCCTCAGGGAGCCATTGTTCAGTCCCTCCAGAAAATGGTCAAAACTCTCAAATGCTACTCAGATGCAGTCCATAGAATTACCCAAATCTACCCAAATCCTGCTAGCATTACATGAGTAATGAAAAAATATGATATATTTATTCACTATAATGTTGGGGCTGAATGCAGAACATGGTCAAACCTATTTTTACTCTGAAATAATCTAATTTCATAACGAAATTAGAAGTAAAGATATAGCAAGTGATGCTATAGGAAGTCGACGGTCCAAGTGACAATGTTGTGGAGTGACTTGTCCAAGATTTATGGTCACCTGGAGTGTGTTTGGTGGCATATCAGCCTCCTGTACACAGTGATCGTCATCCCACTTCTTTGCTCAAATTATCGCAAATTTAGGCAAGGTTAGTTTGGGTTAGGTAAGGTTAGTTTGGGCTAGGCAAGGTTATTTTGAGTTAGGTAAGGTTAGTTTGGGCTAGGCAAAGATATTTTGGGTTAGGTAATGTTAGACAACTTTTCAAACCCATTGACCAATGTATCTTGGATACGTCGCTCCACAACATTGTCTCTTGGACCCTCAACTTCCTATGGCATCACCTGCTACATAATTACTTCCAATTTTGTTATGAAATTTGAATATTTCAGAGTAAAAATAGGTTTGATCATGTTCTGCATTCAGTACCAACATTATAGTGAGTAAACATACCATATTTCTTCATTAATTATGCAATGCTAGCAGGATTTGGGTAATTCTATGGACCCCCCCTCAGATGAGCCATATTCTTATTCACTGTACATTATTGAATTGCCATACTGTACTTTGGGACAACAAAAATTTTGCACAGGTTAAAGATTCTGGTGAAGACTGGCCTAAGCAGCCCAAAACTAATGCTTAGTGTCTCACAAAATAAGGCTGATGAGCACCTGTGATTCATCAATTCTTTGTGCCCTTTGTTGACATTTTAACACGTTGATAGTGCTTCTCGGCCATCCACTTTTTGGTCATGAAATATAAATGTATAATTAACACTGCAATAACACCCAATATATTACCTGTATGTACTTTGGAGTGAAGTCCTTTCTTGCAATTATTTGATTATGACTTGGTTCATGTTAACATTTTGAAGGAATTCTTGGGACATCCAACTTCAGAAAAGTGTCAAGGAAAAAAAAAATATTTATTGGAAACATTTTTCCAAAGGCAAATTTACAGTGCAGTCAAAGTACTGTATTTGGAAAGTGACACAAATGTTCATAATTCTTACTCGGTTCACCCCATATTAAAGGTAGAAGTCTGCACTTTAACCTCATAAGCAATGTTTCTTTTCAAATACGATGTGCTGGACAAGAGCCAAAACAAAACTGTCACTGTCCAAATATTTATGACTACACATTATGTACATTAAAAGCTTTGCAGGGTAAAAGCTACTGACTTACTGATCACTGTAATTATAATTTTATTAAACAAAATTTGAGGCATGTTCTCTTGATCCAGATCCACAATTGATTAATCTATAATGACTAAAAAACATACTATAGGCCATATGTTTGACCTCAACCACATGGCTAACACTAAAACACTATTACCATGACAGTTAAATTATGCAACTTGTGATGGAATGATTTCTTTGTGATGAGGTAGTATCTTTATGAATATGAATCATCTGACACCTGGGGGACTCAGTGCCAGTGAGCAGCAGCTAATGTGATGATGCAGTATCACGCAATCTGTATACTAGTGAGATTTAACTTAATGTCCTACCCCTTAACTATAGTACAATTTTATATATATAAAAAAAAAGAACCTAAGGGACATATGATACAAGCAGACCTATAATGGTTTAAATATCAATTACCATATTTCTAACATACTTTGGCAATTGAATTACAAGTGCAGTAATTCAACACCAATACTGACAACATGCAAAACATTTATGTACTGTATAGGCAAGATGACCCGCAAGTGTAGTCAGAAGGCGCAGTGAAAAGTTCAAGTGTCCCTTAATATATGTAGAACTAGGCAGTGAAAGTATGGGCAACCACCTTATTAAGCTCATCCAACTACTAAATAGGAAATGCTGAATTATTACCCAATTACCTTTATGTAATCTGAAATATTACATATAGTTGACATTTGTAGATAGTCATATCTATTTTCATACTCATCAGTCTACTGTCAAGCTTTCTATGGCACATTACATTTCTAGCCCCTATTGATTACAAACGACTCGTATCTGCTAGTACATGAAGAGCTGAAATTAGTTCTACTTCCTTAAATTTATGTTGAAAATGTAAACAAACTTAACATATTACTCACCTTGAGCAGACTGGAAGTTATTGAATGCAGATCTAAACTCTTTGTTTTGCATTCCAAACAATAGCTAAGTAGTGTAGCAACTTTCTCACTAATTTGTCTATGAATAATGTCATCATGACATCTTGTGTCCTTGTTATAAGAGATTTGTCTAACATTTAACTTTTTAAACTATCCTAAATCTGAATTTCTACAAACATTTACAAAATTTGGTAACAATATAGCAAAGTCTTTGGTTTATATCATTTTGTAAAATAATAAATTACATATTACATATTTTATCACATTTAATTAACAAAGACAGCCTTTTGCTGCATTTGTCTATGAGAAAGAAGCTCATGGCTTGTGAAAAACTGATGTACATTATAAATAATAAACTCTCACTACCAAGAAACATTTTAGCATGACACTACAGGTGACTACAGATTGTTTAAAAATTTACTAACTGTACACACTATTATAATAACAAAAATCTAAATTAAGGAGGCAATCTGTCTTTTTCTTGAACGCATTCCAAAATATGATAATGAATAAATTTCATTTGTAATGCTATCTATACCATACAGTACAGTACCTGGTTACAAGCAGTTTATGGTGAGATTTTATTTTACTATTCAAGAACACACTTCCACCTTTTCCACTTACCATACCACATTTGTGAAACAAGTGCTTAATTTTGAAGATACAGTACTGCACTTGTATACAAGGTGACATGCATACAGACTGCAAGTCGATTTCGAAAAGAAAATTCTGGAATTTTACTTTTCGAAATGGTTTCCCACTGAAATGTCTGAGCATTCCAGTGGGATTTACTTCACGTAATAGTAATCACTATTTTGCCTTTCAGTGCAAAAACCATTTTGCACGCAGGAATAAGAACACTGAGATTGGCACTTACTTTTTACTGGGTTATTTTAAGCCCAAGTTGAGTACATGACAACGGGGTCATGCACCTTTGGCATTTCTGATGTGCCCCTAATCCACACCTTGGCAGTCTCGTTCATTCCAGGCCATCCTCTATTATGGTAGTACTTATTATAACGATGAGGACATGTACGTCTGTACATCGTTCATATACCGACGTACAACTAAGTGAGTACAATGCAATTACAAAGCAGAAATCGGTACCATTGAATTTGGACAAACCGGAAAAGATTTTCTATTTATGTTGCAAAGATAAACTAAACTAACCTGACCTAACCTTCCTAGGCCTACTACACAGTATCTGAGGCCTACTGTACTAGGCCCAGGAATATTTAAGTTTGTTTTATACCTTCATTTTTTCGAACTATACAGTGAATAGTACAAACTTCTACGAATTCCTTAGTACATCAATATTTGTACTATGGTGCTCATAGTTACAAAAAGTACTATCTAAGCAGGAGGATGGGTTGTATTTGCAAGAAATGAGCTACAGTTATTAGGTAATGCAGCTCATTACTATGTTTGAGAGCTCAGGTACTCACCACTTAATGAACTGGTGCATAGGTTCTCAAACCTATTGGGGTCTCTTATATACAGTATATCTATATTTAAAATCTGCACAAGAAAACTAAGGCTATCATGAACCATACTGTATTCCGTATTTTATTACTTGTATGCCATCCCTTAAACAACCTTCCACATACAACCATACCTTATAAGATTAGTGTAAACTGTGGGAATACCAACTTTCAATTACATACTGTATTCACAGACCCAGCAACACGCCTATATCCCTGGCTGATTGCTTCTTGCTACACAAGTTTAACTTGATATGGGGACTTCTGGCAACAGCTGTGATTATTTACATTTGTTAAAAAATATTTAGTAATAAAATGTATTATTGACAGTAATTAACAATTTCTTATTAAGTATGTTATTAAATGAAAGCTAATGAGAAAGTAAAAACTTAAAAAAAAATATATGCTCATTTTTCTCAGCACCCAATTTCTGAATAACAAGTGTATCTGGTAGATATAATTATCCAAGAGATTTCATCAGAAATGTCTATTGTTCCAAAGAAGGATGGGAGACAGGTAGTCAATAATAATCTAAATGGAAGAGTAGAGTTCCTTCATGAATTAATGTGACTAAGAAAACTACAGATTGCCTCATTAATAATTGTAATATGTAGTGATAAACTGCTCATTGTATCTACAGTCTGCCTACTTCTACAATTTGTGATAATGTGTGATCAGTCCCTCATTTAGAGATAACAACTGTAAGAGAACTTACACTCCTGTAGCACTGACTCTCCTACTTGCATCAATGGCTCAGCCTTCAAAGGGCCGCTCGTCACACAAGTGTAAATCCCCTTACTTCCATAGATAATATAAAATGAGATTCTATATGGGAAAAGGTGATACTTTATAAAAGTCTCAACTTTAAACTACCGGTAATTACTATTAACTATTCAACATTACCTGTAAGTTTGGATTTATTCATAGTATTTTATACACTATGTATATGTATGTATGCATTATTAGAACAGCCAATATAAAGGACAAATGTCTATAATGTTTAAACTGTCATTGTGAGACATAACGAGCTTGCTCACACAAAATATTGATAACAGCTTTGTCTTTGTTCATTGTGTGTCTAATATTATATATTATATTATATATATATATATATATATATATATATATATATATATATATATATATATATATATATATATATATATATATATATATATATATATATATATATATATATATTTTCTGCATATACATATTATAGATATGGCTGGAATGTGTGCTTGCATCATACATGCTGTAATGGGTAATGTTGTAGATACAGTAATGGCTTGTACATTGGAAAGTCTTTTATTATAACAATATCTCTGGCTAATTTATATATGCCAGTGCTATGCTATAAGTGGATTGCTACCAATTTACCGCTTAATTACATTATTATTCGCATTACAAGTAAATTAAAATTTTATTATATATACAAATAGTGCTGTACTAACAAATAAATTTTAAATTCTGGAAAGTATGATACTTATATAACTTTAATTTGATAATTTACAAGGGCAAAATTTGTTACAAATACAAAATAAATAAATAAACCCATTAGATATATTATTCATTATTTCCCAGGCCAGTCAGGCCAGTAGTTGATGTGGTAGCGGAGTGTAGAGCCCTCAAAGAGGCGGTCGAGCCAGTTGCTCAGACCCTCCAGTAGTTGCTCCTCGAACAGTATATTGCTGTAGTAGTTAAGCAGCGGCCTCTGTATATAAAACATTTATTGCTAAAAGTATTATTATTAAGTATAGATCATCCTCAAATTAACCTTTTGATAACTGCAATATACTGTACAGTATTGATGTGTGATTACTTATGTACACCTATGTAGCAAATACATTAACTTGAGTAGTGAGCTTACTAAAAAATAATTAAGAAGACTTGTAAGAAATAGTAGGTCTACATAAGCTATTGTTATAAACAGAATAAATATCCTTAGTTAAAAAAATTATTCCACCAAATGTGCTTAAAATTGTTGACTAGACACACCATTTAAGAGACTCCTCTGCCTTATGGAGTATCATTTTTCCATTTGAACTACACAAACTTAACACATGTAAGCCATGAAATTTGTCATGTGCTAAAATGTAGCAGCAAATAATCTTGCCTAATTATTAAAATTTCCCGTTTTTAAACTGCAACTGTCTGAGGAAGTTAACAATTAGCAAAATAAAGTGCCAAGCTAGTATAGCTGTATTGTACTGTATAACATTATGCTAGTTACAGATGATTAAACAAATTTTAGATAACACTCATGATACCTATTACAAACAATAAATACAAGTTTATCAAAATTCTCTCATTCAAGAATAATGTCTGCCCAGTTCACTATCTGTGAACTCTAGCCTATTAATCATCACAAAAATTGTAAGGCCCATATGCTAACCACTGTACCATTAAGCAATGAACAATGTTTAATCACAATGTATACAAGTTTCTTGGTTACAAGAAACAAGTTTAATATAATTTATATTAATGAAATGTTTAGATTGCTAAAATAAAATAAAACTTGCATTAACTCACATCTGAAGCAACTGAATCCTTCCTCTTGTCCCCAACCTCCAGATCTGAGTCTGACTCGGATTCATTGTCACTGAAGCCCATGAAGTCTCCACTGATGCCAGAACGTACAGGCTGCATCATTGTTAACATGAAACAAAATGTTGAAATCCATAAACAATAGAAATTAAGCTGCAAGGCACAAGAGGATTTATTATAGTGTATCACATACAATACTTACAAAAATAGTTCAGCATTTCTAACACCATAGCCAGTACAGGTAAAACTGCAAGATGTTAAACTGTATATTGTTATACTATATATTAGGGATGGGAAATATAGAAGTTGATTACAAATTCTTGAAGCTCTACACATAAAAGTAGAACAACCCACCATAAATATGCAAATAACAGAATTATTCACTCTACCCACCACAAGAGTGAGAGCAAGACCGGAACGTGCAATGTCAACGATGACGTCACTGCCCAAAACGCCATGCCCACTACGGTCACCTGATCTCCAATTATCCTATTACCTGACTTATTTTTTTATGCATTGTAAACTGACCCATCACCTCACCTTACCTCTACTCTCTTTTTTTCCGCTTTCTCCTAACAATTATTTATGTACCTGACCTCCCAGTGAAATAAATCAGATGTTCCCTCATATCTTCTCACTCCTCACTTGAGAATGAACCTTCTAGGTTCGAAACATTGTGTAAATTACAGTAAGTACAGTATAATACATTATGTACAGTTAATTTTTTGTTATTTTAGTCAACCTTGAACAAATATGACATTTGGAGAATTCTTCTTTTAATTAAACCCAGAAGCAAGAGTACTAGTTAGAGGAATAGAAGCCATGAACAAGAAAATAATCAACAGGGAATATGCAGTCATATTCAATGAAACTTGTCAAAATGAAAAACTGCTGCCAGTATAAACCAATACTGTGTGTAATTACCTAAGTGTAGTTACAGGATGAGAGCTACGCTCATGGTGTCCCGTCTCCCTAGCACTCTGTCATATAATGCTTTGAAATTACTGACGGTTTTGGCCTCCACCACCTTCTCACCTAACTTGTTCCAACCATCTACCACTCTGTTTACAAAAGTGAATTTTCTTATATTTCTTCGGCAGCTTTGTTTCGTTAGTTTAAATCTATGACCTCTTGTTCTTGAAGTTCCGGGTCTCAGGAATTCTTCCCTATCAATTTAATTGATTTCTGTTACTATTTTGAATGTAGTGATCATATCGCCTCTTTTTCTTCTATCTTCTAGTTTTTGCATATATAATGCCCCTAACCTTTCCTCGTAGTTCTTGTCCTTCAGTTCTGGGAGCCACTTAGTGGCATGTCGTTGCACCTTTTCCAGTTTGTTGATGTGCTTCTTAAGATATGGGCACCATACAACCGCTGCAAATTCAAGCTCTGGTCTAACAAAAGTCGTGAACAATTTCTTTAGTATTTCTCCATCCATGCATTTAAAAGCAATTCTGAAGTTAGAAAGTGTAGCATAGGCTCCTCGCACAATGTTCTTAATGTGGTCCTCAGGTGACAGTTTTCTATCTAGAACCACCCCTAGATCCCTTTCTTTGTCAGAATTCTTTAAAGATTTCTCACATAATTTATAGGTTATGTGGGGTCTATGTTCTCCAATTCCACATTCCATAACATGGTATTTATTCACATTAAATTCCATTTGCCAAGTGTTGCTCCATATACTTATTTTGTCCAGGTCTTCTTGAAGGGCATGACAATTTTCTAGGTTTCTTATCTTCCCTATTATCTTATCATCATCAGCAAACATGTTCATATAATTCTGTATTCCCACTGGTAGATCGTTTATGTAGACAATGAGCATTACCGGTGCAAGAACTGAACCCTGTGGTACTCCACTCGTGACATTCCTCCAATCCGATACCTTGCCTCTGATTACTGCACTCATTTTTCTGTCAGTTAGGAAATTTTTCATCCATGTTAGAAGCTTACCTGTCACCCCTCCAATATGTTCCAGTCTCCAGAACAACCTGTTATGGGGAACGAGTGCACAGGCATGTTGTCGAAATCTCTTTCAAAGTCTACTGTGCTCACGTTAATATCAGTAATATTGTCAGGGGACTGGATATCATTAATAAGGAAGGTGTCTGGATCTTAAACTTTCATATTGTTTATTGAGGTAGTAAACAGCCTCGTACTGTTCTTTAAGAATTTCGCTAATTTCTTTATCGTTGTCTGTGTATGAACCTTCATTTGTAAGTTTAAGTCCAGCACTCTTGAAGTTTTATGATTTTGATTTCACATGTGATAAATATTTTGGATTTTTCTTTATCTCTTGTCTAGCTTACTGTTCCAATTTTGTTTCTTCAGACTGGTATGATCGCTTCAGTATCTGCTCTACTTCTTCAATCACCTTGTCTAAAGTTGCTATATGGCCATGTTACTGGGCTGCAAGGTGCCACTCATGGTGGATGCATTTGATCTATACAGGAGTCAGTTGGATTACCTGTACATCTTTCCTCCTGTTGGACTGCTTGTGTTAGCCAAGCTGATATGTGCAGGCCAGATCCTCCTCCTCCTGGTTTAATGGTAGCCAGTTCAGCCATGGTTTCTGGCCATATGAGCTCTGTGTTTGAACCTCCTTCCCTTTCAAACACATTTATTTTTTCCAGTGGATTGGCATCATGACCTCTCTCAATGAATCAAGGTTCTCTGCCTATCTTTGCTTGCACGTGGAATTTTTAGGCCTGGTGTATAGTCAGGTGTAAGGTGTTCATGTGGCAGACCTTCTATTGTCCCCCACTTACGGCTCTCTTCACATTAGCAATATGCGGGTGTGTAGCACTCTCTGTCTCTTCCTCTCTTTCAGCTACTTTGCCTTTAGTATCTGTTTCTGTGGTGATGTCTTTTCTGTTGTGATTTTTTTTGGATTTCTGCTTAATGCCTAATAGTGTTGCCTTGTCTAGCCTTGGAGAAACCTTTCTCACTGATTTTTCAGGTGGGTGCTTTGTCCCCCTTGTTGAACTTGTCTGTGATGTTCTTGCACCTGCAGACAGCTCGTGCTTTCGTGCTCCTTTTGGGCAATTTTTGTTACTGTATCAATTGTCTTTTGTTCTACCTTCATTTAGATTTTCACCTTCCGTGGAAGATTCCTTGAAGGCAGTGTTTCTGTTGGCTTTTGTTTTGGGCAGCTTCATGCTGTTCTCAGAATTTCTAGAATAATTTTAAGCATTTCTCTATGCATGTATTTAAGGGCAATTGTGTGTTTGTATGTATATAACCACACATACATATTATACAGCAAATGACTAGAAATTAGTATATCAAAGAATAGCATGCGTTACCATTCAGTCTAGGAACAAACACTTATTTCTTATTAAAAGACAGGCAACATTATGAAATAAAGAAAGCCTCCTCCTGAAATTGATGTTAGCTCTGCTTATGAATCCCAATTTTGAAGAATGCAAATAAAGTATATAGTACAGTACTGACCCTTCGGCGGAGTCCTTCTGTCTCGGGTGCGCCTGGATTTGGAGTGAACTGAAAGGAGCAACGCTTATAGTAATGCAAACACTGGTGAAAAATTTTGATGCACATTAATTGTACACACTTTACAAATAGCCTTCTGTCATGTAAGCTCTTTTAGGACAAATATTTATGGCTAGATATCAAAATGTTCTTAATTTTCTAACATACATTTAAATTTGTTCACCAATTACATTACTGTATAGTGTATGATATAGGAGGGGTTTGTATTTATTCAATACAAGTTTTCTCACCATTTGCAAAATTATAACACAGCAACAAGCTCTTTACTGTTACAGTGCAGTAAAGACTTCATACCAAAGGTACCTTCAGACAACTGACATACTAGCACATAACTTTGTTGGTAGTACACAAGGCACAATAATGTACAAATATTTCCTGGCCATTTCTTGCCTCAATTTGAATCCAAATTCAGCAATTTTGCAAACAAAATATAAAATAATAGATGAATCAACACTGGAAACTTTTGGAAACATTTTGCCATCACATTCCACTATTTTACTGAATGGTGAAATTCTCCTGGTATCATACTAAAAGACTGGCACCACACAATAAAACGTTTGTGTATTTACAACCAAACATCTTTTCCAAACTTTCTCAAGTAAGTAATTACCAAAATAAGACAGCAAGCTGGGAAGACTAAGAACCACAGTCGAGCTTTCCCAACAATTGCTCCCCAAGACAAGATCCAAGTCGTCTCTGGACAGGATCAGCAACAAATTGGGTAGGTCAACATTCCACACTGGTAAACCAAGAAACTTGGAAGATGTTGGCCTACGGGAAAATTGCTGGGATGTGTTCTCTTAGGTTTGTCTAGTCTCTCTTAGGTTGGAAAGGAAGACTCCACTGCAAAGGAAATGCTTCTCAAGTGTCAATTCACACATTTGTTAGCCAATTCAGCCTTGGTTACCGGCCCTATTCCATAGTTTTCCAATCGGTTTATTTTCCAGCTTGTCCCCTTACTCAAAGGTTCATTTATTGGATTTGTCTAAATACCTTCTGTCTCTCCAGTGTTCTAGATATTCAGAAATTCAAGAGAAGTTATCACCACACATATAGGGAACAGGTGAGTTTCTTCTCATAGCCATAGTGGCCTGGCAAGCTCCACAGCATTGTTTTGCTCTGCTGAAGCTTAAGTATCCTTTTGTCCCTGTTCTCATAACATTCAATTTTGTTTTTGTTAACAGGCAGCTCATGCCTAATATAATAGTTTTGTTTAGGTGTACTTTGACTGGGCTGCTTCTTGCCTTCAATCTTGATCTCCAATTCTCCATTTTTGGGTGTGATGTGATGTTCCTTCATTTATGACCATACCATTCCCACCATTGGAGTGTGCTTAGTCCTTCAGAAAGGTGTTGGAATTTCTCCTCCTTCCTCGATTTTGAGCCTCTCATTTTTTTTATTATGATCTTTTCTTCGGAACTTCTTTCCCTTTGCCTTGGGTAATGGATATTTGATTTAGTGAAGTCTTTGCTATTCTTCACTGTCTGGATTTCTTTATTTTGGTCACACATTTGGTTTGTTCCTGGTTTCACAGTCTTCAGTATATTATACTGTGTGTCTTGTGGCTTCTCTATGGCTGTATCTCCTCGATGTTTTAATTCCATATTCCATCTACCCAACTAACACCACAAATGACTCTCAGATACTGATTTTCTATTGCATTAACATTTAATTATTTATGATCATGCTATATCAGCACCTTGCATCTATACATAAGGGTAGGCACTACCACTCCTTCAGCAACTTGTCCTTTCAACTATTAAGTCACGTTTTTTACATTATTGAAACCAACGTTATAAATGCAACCCATTAAGTAATAGTTCACAAATATTCATGTTTCAATGCATCGTGGTCGATTGGTTAGATGGGTTGCTTGGGTTTGTACATTTCTGGTTATGCTAAAAGGTTAGGTTTTGAATGGAAAAAATTGCTATTTTAATGGCAAATTCAGAAATGGGCTGCCTTCAGGTAGCACTCTACTCCCATCTAATTCTAACTACAATAGAGTTTTCATTTCAAAATCACTTTTCTGTTCCTGACTCATGCTTAACTCTCAACTTCAGCATAAATTCTTAATTTGTCACATTCTAATTTGGAAGTGGAGGTTGTTTCAGATATACAAGAAATACCTATAGACCACTTGTATCCAGTTTCAAGAGTTCTTCTACTTGCACTGCCCAACTGGAGTCTCAATTTTCTGGCAATAACTTGATCAATAAGGCTGTTTTCTTGCAGCAGTCTGCGGGCACACACATCCATCACAACTCTACTGATCTGGCACTTCATGCAAAAACCTGTCCAAGTCCCTCTTGAAAATTTAAACTTTTGTTCCAATGATATGTCTTACATGTCAGAATGAAGATGAAAAGCTGTAGGCCTCCTATACTCATACAGCCGTCTATGAGTCTATGGGTATATACTCTTCAATGGGTATATTTGATATTTTGTATCATATCTTCCCCTATAGTAAGCTACTTTATTGTAAATATTGTATTTGGAACCTGACAATCAAGAATCTTCCATGTATATATTATATGAAATCTCTCTCTCACCTCCACTCCAAGGAGTACATTCTGGATGCTTCGCTAAGATCCCAGTAATTTTAGTGTTTAACGGCCTTGAAAGACAAGTAGAGAGCAGTATTCCATGTAGGATAGGCACAAGCCATTACAGAAGAAGAATGGCCGATGGCTGGATTTGTTTTGCTCACTAAATGTAAAATTATCCAACATTATTATTCCTAGATCCTTTAGAGGTTATTTCAATACTTTTTAGTGATCTGATTATATCTTTTATCTTGTATCCAATTTAAGCTCTTAATTGTTTACATTTCTAAGTTTCTATGCAGATTCAAATTAACCAAAGGTAGAACAAGATCTAACATGAGGTCACCCTACATGAATTAGAAGTGCCAAACAATCAAACTATATTCAGTGAGCCCTTACATAAGTGTTAATATAGCATGACAAACTACCATGCACAGGATGAGTAGAGGGTGCACAATAAAGTGCACAATAAAGTACCACCTACAGGATGAGTAACGATTGCACAATAAACTATCACTCACAAGTAAGGAGTGCACAATAAACTATTGTGCACAGGATAAATATGGAGTGTACAATAAACTATTGTGCACAGGATATGGAATATACAATAAACTACTCCACACAAGATGAGCATAGGGTGGACAATTACCACTCACAAGGTAAATTTGGAGTGCACAATAAACTACCATTTACAGGATGAGTAAGGGGTGCACAAACTACAACTTGCAAGGTAAGCATGGGGTGCATAATAAACTAGCTGCCATTTATAGCAATAATCAATCATGATCTTCTTATAAATGTTCAATACGTTAGTTTACAAGCAAAGTTTGCTCAACAAATACCTCTAGAAACAAAGCTCATGTTATCCTTCAATTCTATTCCCTATTTAATTGTCTCTAATACAGAAAGTTAAACACTTATCTTGTCTGTATGCTTTATGACTCTTCTGAAGTGATTACTCATTCTACTGACATTTTTTACCTATACTTCCATCCACTCATTTATCAAGAGAAGCTTACCCCAAACACAGTCTCAGGATGTTTGGCATGGAACAGGCAGTAGTACTTCCGATGTCCATTTAGTGCAATTACAGTGCCAAGGGTGTTCTTAGGGTTGATGTTGAGATCACGAGGTTCAGGAAGCCCAAGGACTAGTATGCGCTTGTACCATTCCATTGCCGATGCTCGCTCAATGTTTAAAAAAGCAAACATCAAGGTTTTGTTTCTGAAAATATTAATATTATCAAATGTATCATTTGGTATCCTCCCTCCAAGAAATAAGATTTTTCAGTTTTTGGCCCTTTCTCTGGTGAACCACTCATCTAGTGATCAATAATTTAAATTGTGTGCACTATTATTATAAAGCACATACCCATGCAATGTTCATCTGTTCTCTCCAGTAAACACCAGACAACAACGCTTTACATCTCTCCTCACACCTACTCTCTCTACCACACTCACTAACTCTGCACTCATCCTGTACACACTCCTACACTCCTAAATTCACTAATTTCCTCACTCACTAAAATAGTTACAAAGCCCAGCATATTTCCTTGGTAAATAATCTCAAATATCGGTGGTGGTCTACGTTAGCAGATACTTTTGCAGGTGTATCTAAACCTCATCCATCACTGTCATCTCACTCCTTTCAAAGCCCAGCCCAAGGAGGAAAAGTCTGAGATGTGTGGCATGCTACTCATACTCCGGGTTGGGATGAACACAACATTTTCTACACACCTATTCCCCACCAACACACTACCACACGATGCCACCTTTTTATTAAATAATAAAGAGTTACTTCATGTATGAGCCTAGCAGCTAATTTGATTGGCCTGCTATCTGGTATGACAAAGTTTAGGAATAAGTAAGTGTTCCACACTATTCACCAGCCACTAATATTAAGCACTATCAAAATTGAAATTCTAGTTACACAGTTACACAATGAGCACAATCAGAAACTATAAAAATGTGATATTAGTAGAACTTTTAATTTAACACATTAGCCACCAATGAAATCTGCTTGCAAAATCTTTCATTAGCACTCGAGAAGCTATAGTAAATGTGGAGTTCATACAATAGTATGACAGCTCAAGGGTTGCAGTTTTCACTGCATTTTTGTTATTTACTGCTGTAATTTGATACTCAAGCAAATATAATGGGCAAATAATAGCCAATAATTAGAATAATTGAAATATATATTATAACCTTACTTTCTGTATGGCCAACACGCTTTATGGAATTTCGGCATAAGTTTAGCCTTGCTCTCCGAGTCACACAGCATCACAATAGTGCGGCACCCTGGCTTCAACATCCGAACAAGGCCATTGTACGTCTCTCCTCGCAATTCATGTACACGAAGTTGAGGCTGAGGTGTCACTTTTCCATTTTGGTCTATGAATGTGGATTCTGAACTACCCACTCGCTCTTCTTCTAGTTTTCTGAAAACAATATTTTTAAATTATACACTTATGCATCATTAAATTTAGTAGTAGCCTCATTTTTATATGAACATATATGTACTTATCATTCCTAAGTACCACAATACCCTTACAAATGTGCTTAGCATGTTGAGAATAGCACACACTAAGTTTGTTAAACTTAGTACAAGCTACAATAAAAACTATGTAAAAACAGTTCAGTAGAGGCCTAGGTTAGTTTACGTGATTTGGTTAGACTATTCACAGACCTAAATTATGCAAGGTTAGGAGTGCTTAAACTTATGTATAACTAAAATATTACTACAGTTTGTGCATCACCAATATATATATAAATTCCATTAATATAGTGATCTTACCTGTCTTCCCAAAATGCTGAACAGAGTTTGTTTATTGTTTTGACATTACACTACTGTCATTCTCAAAGCTAGAACCCAGAGATTGCAGCTCTGAGAATACAGCTCATCATCCAAAGCTGATGTACAAAAGTAAAATTGGAGGCTGCCTCCACTAACCTGTATGTACAAAACATGTTATCACATGACACTGATTAAAGATTAAAAGGTGCGGCCAAAAAGATAAAGCTCAACCCCAACAATAAGGGAAGTATATGCATGGTATCCACAGTACAAGAGTTAACACAAAGTTCATGTAACCCGCATATTCTGTAATGCTCTGTAACTTACACTAAATACGACATGACGTAACCTCCAGCAATAATGAACAACACTGTCACCAGGATAGACACAGCAGGAAGTAAATCATCTTGACTTACATTGTCTCTGTGGATAGAGCAAAAATAACTAGCATAAATTAACTATATATATGTGTACAAACAGCATTCAAATAAGTTTGTGTTAAACAGAAGTGTGTACCATCCAGTGCATTGCACATATGCACAGTGTATATCCCGCAGATAATATCATGCCCAACTAAGATGTTTAACGTTAAATTGGATTTTCTATTAAATGTAAATTTTTACATTACAGCAGAACCTCGATTCAACGAACCTAGATTTGGTGTTTTCTTTGGTTAGAAAACATACTTTCCATGCTGGATTTACTCACCTGATTTAATGAACAGGAAGCTAAGGATGCATGAATTTGCTTAGTATGATGGGACTGAGTTCACAGATGGAGGCAACATTATAAGAAATATGAGCACCCTTTTATCATTTAACCTTCTATTATAAAGCCCTAACATGTTATTAGGTAAACAATTAGAAATTCCTTTCACTGCTTTCATCTCATATTTACTTTAATATACAGTACTGTACTTCCTTCAGCAATCATAATCAATTAGACTTTTAATAATGTCATAATTTACTATATATTTATGTATACTGTATACTCTATTTACTGTATATGTATATGCTCATTTAAAACTGTTTAATCTACAGCCACCAATTTATTCCTCGACACATAGTGCATATGCAATCACATTCACTAACTTCAATTTCTCAAACTTTTATTTCATGTGCAAGCCCTTTGAACTGCAATACGAGATATTAATTGTCCACTACCACTTTTTATTAACAGGCATACTCTTCCTCTACTCCTCTCATTTTCATTCATATTTTTATAAACTTTAATTCATTTTTCATCAGACTTTCCATCATTAAAACTTTCACCACCGCCAGCATTTTCCGTCCCTCAATTATTCCTCAAACACACCACATAACTACACGAGTTTTTCTTTGTTTTTTCATGGTGTCTGGGCAGACAAGGGCCTCAGATCCAAAGCCATTTGTTTACTTTAGTTGGAAAACAGATCTCCAGCCCACTCTACTCACCACTAGTGCAGGGGACATATGTCTGATTGCATGACATATGGGTCGCCAGCGGAGTCACCACATCTCTACTAGCCTACTCTAGCCCACATCTCTACTATGCAAGTCAAATAATTCACATACCTCAGATAATCTTGCACAGAGACAAGTTTGTTGATGATTCTCCAAACAATGCCTTGGGCATGTTCATCAAACAACTCCTGAAAATCAAAATTGTGCATGTCAATGAATTTATTCAAAACTAGATCCCTAATAATCATGACATAGACATTCAGCTTTAATAATTATTTACTATTTTTCAATTTGATAATGATAACCTAAAACTGTATTCCCTAATACAAAAATTATGATAAAAGGACTGCATGTTTATAGCAAATATACATTTGAAATACCGAGATACACGAATGGCATCTGCAGTAAATAAATGTATATACTGTATGTTAAATATGCCAAATGCATTAAAAGATAAGGATTGCAGTACAGTGTTAATCTTGAGTATGTACATTTATGACATTCACACTGAGAACTGCCCACTTTCTAATGGGTGACCATACCGAGAATCTTCCAGCGACATTTGAAATGCACTCATGTGTCTGAACAGCCACCCTTTAATGCCAATGAATAATTAGTTTAAGCAAAAGACTTGATTATCTTTTAGTTTAAAACTGCCATGACAGAGACACAGCTGTGTTGTTACACAGTATACACAAACCTGGACAACAGTTTCAAATGGCATAGCCTGATTGGAATGGAGGAGTCTCTGAACAGCTGCTTTGAGTGCTTCACGAGAGCTGTTGTGCTTGTCTGGCTCCACTTGCCACCCTTCCTCTAACCACTCATATTTCAGGTGGTTCTGGTCCTTACGCCACAGGATTACTATGTGATGATTGGTCTCAACAGGTGAGCCTGAACCTGTACAATAAAAACAAAATCCTTACATTACAAAAAGCACATATTTTCATGTTTGAATAAACAATATCATAATTCTATGTACACTGGGTGATGAGAACTGCAGCAGAAAAATTAATGTGTAGAATGTGATATACAAGTCAATGATAGACTGATAAACAAGACAAAAAATCAAATGTAAAATGTAATGAACCACACTTTTTTACTGACCCACACTAGGTGAGTACACACACACACACAAAGCTCCTTGAGCTATGGTACTGGGGCTGGTAAGTCTTTGGAATAACACTAGGCCTCTGAAACCCACTCAAGCCTACCAAGAGCCAACCCGAGAATATTGCTCTTTTCCAAAAAGAGGAGAGCTTGGGGATCAGAGATCAATCCAGAATCGAGAAAACCCCAGAACAAAGTAAAAGCACGTCCAAACAATCAACTGCTTGAATAAAATTAGCAGCCATTAAATTAGTAAAACAAGGTGTAATGTTGAACACTATAGTTAACAAGTGACAAGATCTCTGCAGCTTCATTCAGTAACCATGGTAATATTTGGTCTAATCCTACAGATTTTTCTACACCCAGTTCCTCCAGTTGTCTTTTTAACCTCTTCTACATTAAGTTCAAATGTCTGGTGGTGTTTCTGGTTGTCTGTTGTCACCCCTACTTGGATACCAATCTGGTTCTGCATTGAAGACCTCCGGGAACCTTTTGATGGGTTCTTCACACATTTCTTTATCATTCTCCAAAAGTATTTATCTCTGTTCCCATTGTCTGATAACATGGTTTCATATTATTGTTTCCTCTATATATGGCTGTGGAACAGCTAAGGCTGGCTCTTTGCTTTTGCTGCAATGTCATTTTCAAACTGCTGCTTTGCTGTCTCTCCTAATTCTTGTATACTCATACCTGGCCCCCTTTAGTTCCTCCCTTTTGCCTCTGTACCCATGCTTTATAGGCAGATGACGAGTCATAATAACATGGTTGAAGATCTGACCAAACGACACTAATAGTCCAGGATGGACCGAAACATCGTCATTTCTTCATATTCTGATGTGTAATTACCTAAGTGTAGTTACAGGATGAGAGCTACGCTCTTGGTGTCCCGTCTTCCCAGCACTCTTTGTCATATAATGCTTTGAAACTACTGATGTGTGGTTTGGTCATCATGTCTATACTTTTCCATACGATTTTGTTTTCTCTTTTTTCTCCTTACCATGTATGTTGAACCATGGATTTGCTATTCTCTGTTTTTCCATGTTCCTCCTGAGAGAGATGAATTGTTCTGCTGTCTTTTTTGCATTTGTGTGCTGAGAGTTCCATTATCTCATTTACCAACTTTCCTTCTATTTCAGTCTCCTGTTGAACCTCTTTACAGATAATCTCAAACCCTCCTGTGGTTCCCTCTACTGTACTCTCTCATGCTCTTTGTCCTGTTTCCAAATCTCTCTTTCAGTTCTATAATGTAATCAAATGTGATTATGTAGTGGTCACTGGCTTCTCCTCAAAGTTGCAATATTGTTGTATCAGTAGGGCTACTCCTCCTCCCCCCCCTCCCCCACTGTTTATCTTTTCTTTTCTTACTACCTGGCCTCCTCTTGGGAATATTTCATCCTCTATTATGTTTGTCAGTTTTGTCTCTGTAACTGCAATGATAAGGATGCAGTTCACTGCTCATTTCTGCTGGGCTGCTTAGTTTCCTCCTGGGGGTAGATTATCTCCTTGGGTTAGTCCCATTCCAGTGGTTGGAATTTGTGAGCGTTGGTCTAATCACACACACACACACTCATTCCTTTGGTCTCTTTCCTCACCAGGGTGTAAAACCTTCTTGCTGTGCCTGATTATCCTCCTCCTGCCCTCCTCTCGCTTCATGTTTCCCTCAACTCCATTTCCCTTCACTTTTCCTCTCAATTTCTCTTAGCTTCCTCTCTTTCTTCCTTGCTCAATGAACACTTGGCTGTATCTTCTTTGGAAGGTAACCATCACTGGTCTTTGTCATCTATGTTGGACCCTCTCTATTCTACAATTTTTTTTTGTATTTCTTGGGTTGCCTTACTTGCCTTACTCTATCTAGGATTCCTTTGAACTCCTCCTAGTCTCTATTTCTTCTCTCCTGCCATGTGGCTACCTCTGGTTCTGGCAGGTTGATTATAATAACTGATTGCTCCTTTCATTTCTTGGTTGTTGCAGTTCACTACCTACTTTGATCAAACAGCCTATATCATTGTTGCTTTTATTATTTGCCTTGCCTCTAACCTTTTGACTACTTCTGTAAAGGTCCTTGCTAGTGCCTGACCCAATTGTTCCATCACATCTTCCACCTTTTGTACTCTTCCTTTTTCTCTAGTGTACATGCATACATGTGTGTGTGTTTTTGAATAAGATAATATATTGTAATTAGTGTTGACAGGGATTCAGTATGCCTTCACCATATTAATGATACTGTACTTGAGGCCTACGCATCCCTAAAAATAGATTTTCACCTTGCATAATTCACAATCGATCTTTCATCAACATTTGTCATTTCTTTATGATACTAACAAACTAATATTTATTTTTGAAAGTACCTGCAGTAAGAGCATTCATAAACTCTACTTGCTTCTCCCTGAAGAGGTAAGTGTACCGAACTCGATCTCTCTCTCTTGCTTGGTCACCAGTTGCATATTCTCGCAGTGCTGCTCGACTGGGGTCGTGGGCCGGGTCATCTTGAGTAACCAATACAACACACAGTCGCCGACGAGACCTCACCGACTCCACAGGACATAAGGCATCAAACACAGACTGAAAGTAGATGCATAAACTGAATTCACTTTATGAAACAAATCTAATAATTCAGTAGTAATCCAAAATTATTCCTTATAAGAATTTAAAAATATAAGCATGCACACAGTTTTTGTGCAGTTTCTATTTATACTGCACGGCTGACAGGATGTTTAAAAATATCTAAATACTCCTTTACAGGAACTAGCTTTTATTTCAGTAAAACAAAATTATTTTAATATTAAAAAACACAAATGCAAAGGGTCAAATATCAAGAATACTGTATTTCATAAATGGCAGCTAAAAAATTCAGACCATGATTATTAATTCATTTATTTTTGTCCTGGGATAGACAGTGTATGTACACATGTTAGGATTATATCGAGGTCCTCCCAAGGTCAATGTGTTGAACCTCCCCAGGACAAACTAACCCCACAACAAACTAACTCCTGAGTACCTGATTATTGCTAGGTCAACAAGCACATTAGGTGATAGGATACACACCCAATCATTCCTGTCCCACCCCGGATTCAAACCCGGAATTCCCAATTACAAGTCGAGTGACCCTCAACTACATAAATGAAAAGTATGTAAACTAATAAATTTTGACACTTGATGGGCAGTGCTCATGTTCATTAACAGTGCTTTTGAATTTTGTTGAATTTTCATCCTTGCGGCTATGACAAGGGATTAACAATACTTCAGATAATTATATTAAATCCTGCATTCTTCTAAATGATGGAACCCAATATATTGGCAGCAAAAATCATTCTATATTCATTCAGAATTGAAGATACACATATAAACATTTCAAACTGTCATTCAAAGAGCAAATCACTGCAGCATTCTAGCTATATTGGAGTACCTGTGAGGAAAGCCGAGGCAAGACCAGGAATTTGTTGCCTTCAATAATATCTTTCATAGTAGGATAAGGCAAGTCTGTCATTGCCACCGAGGCCACTGGTGTATGCATGTCTTCATGGAACACAAGCAAGGTGTCAACTTTGTTGGATACGCTGTAGCGTGCGCGAATAGTGTCAGTATCTCCACGATCCATCTGTACATATCTTGGGATTAGAGATAAATAATTAGAGTTTAAAATTATATTTATAGGCTATACTGTACTATATTTGTTTTCTGTAAATAAATGTCAAGCAGAATGAAGTACGAACAATTAACACATTGAATATCCCTTTACACTCTAAATTTATTTGTTGTTGTTGGCTAATCCAAAAATCTTAGAATACTAAAAATTGCAATCTTGAAAACTGTCACACAGAATCTTTAAAGTTTCCTAAGTTTTATTAATTCTATTGAAAAAATAGAGCTAATACCTAAGATGCTCTTTTTTCTCATTGGTTTTGAGCATTGTGTTAAAAAAAATATATACCTAATTTGTCTTAGCTCAATTCTAAAAAAGCTTTTTCATAAAATATCTACATTGAATCACACCCAATGAAGCTAAAATTTGAAAGATAACAAGGAAAAAAATCAGGCTTTAAGTGAATGTCAAAAGTTCCTCTCTGAAACATGATACTTAATGCTTTCTAAGAAGCTCTCAATGCTTTCTAAGAAGCTCTCAATGCTCCATAGGGCCCGTTTATGACAGTGAGGGCAGGATGACAATTTGCATCACAAGTTACCCCATGCTTAAATGTAAATATCTAGGTAATATCCAGGTAATTTGTCTTCATAAAATGAAAGTAAGAAAACTCACAAACAATAGAATGAGACCAATACTGGTATTGTATTTTATACAAAAGTGAAGCAAGACTTTAAATGTAATAATGAAGAAAGATTATTAAACCATAGGAAACTATTATTATTATTATTCATTCATAATACATATTGTCTGTTTAAAATATGTTAGGATTACCAACTAAAGTTCATAAAAATCTTGTGTGTTAGTAACAAATATTAACATGTAATGTCTTCATGCAGTCAAGAGAATATATTAATACTTTAAACAATTTCCATACAAAGGTGTAAATGAAAAATTGTGTAGACAATACCACTTACCCTATCACAGCTCTTTCACGAAATTCCCAACCAACCGTCAAGTAACGCAGTCTGATGATGTCCAAACGCCCAAAGATTAACACACGAACCTGACATTGAAAAGTCAATAATGTTTTTACACCTGTTTTAACCTAATTAATATGCAGTTTAAAAACACAATGTCACATCCATCAAATTCTTGTATTATTGATTTACTATACTTCCATACAATAGCTATCTCATTTAGCAAATCCATATTTTATGGTATTATTTTCATATAAAATCACATGTTTTATTGGAAACTCCAAGTTTTAGAAATAAGAGTTTAGAATTTAGTTTTTTATTAGAAACTCCAAGAAATTCTGGTTTCATTTGAAACAATTGTTGCCATAAACAACTTTTATTTTTAAAATCTTGCAGTTCTTTACTGAACAAGATCACAATGTCATAGTGAACAGGATAACAATTGTCAATGGAGGGGTGACATTCTGTAAGGTGCAGCAGGAATCATCTTAAATGTCTTTTCTAAGTCATGCTGGTGCAAGGAATGCACTGAAGAATAGCTCAATCTAATCCAGCCTAAAGTGACTACAGAAGGCTAACACATAAACAATTGGAGCCTTTCCAAGTCCTACATTGAATTAGAGACTGCCAAGCAGTGCCCTAATCAAATCTCGTTTCCCATCTGGCTGCTCTCCCAGACTGTTACCAAATGGCAGAATCCTAATGAACGCCAGGTTCTCAGCCTTGCGTTAAATCACATTCTGAGTGACACAAGGGAAAACCAGAAACAGGTTACCAGACCCTCCGTCAAGATATGACAGGAAAAGTAAAGGTATTAGGAGAAGGAAAGGTATTAGAAGGAAATGTATTAAGGGTCAAGGCTAAGAGTTACTGGCCGATGTTTACCAAAATGAGCGTAGGATAAGGGCAAAGGAAACCTGTGAAGAAAACAAACACAAAATACAAATATTGTACACCCAGGAACAACTCGGCCATGACCTGATTTCACAGGTTAACAAATAGCTGCCCTGGACAGAATTAACCACATATCTCCAAAAGGAATGCAGACAATGAGTCACAATAACGAATGAATAGAAAAACTTACTTCAGAAGCGTATCAAGTCTGTCTGAAACATGTTCCTTTGAGGAAAGCCAGAAAGAGATCTAACGTAGAAAGAGAACGCAGACGACACTATAAACGCAGGAAAAAAATAACGGAACTGCTTATGCAGACACGAATTTCCCGTCAAAGAAGGAATAATTTAAATAGGGAGATTGAAGAAATCGAGCGGAAATTGAAACACTCATATGAAACTGAAGAAAGGCAGTTAGAACAGAAAGCAATTCAGGAAATAAAGAAAAATCCAAAATATTTCTTCTCATATGCGAAATCAAAAGCAAAAACCACTGCCAGTATTGGACCTATTCGTACAAGTGAAGGTTCATACACGGAGGATGACAAAGAAATTAGTGAAATCCTAAAAAAGCAGTATGAGGACATGTTTAGCACTCCAATAAACAACATGAAGGTGGAAGATCCAGACATTTTCTTTATGCGGGATATTCAAACCCCGGTAAATATAACTGATATAAACACGAGCGCACTAAATTTTGAAAAAGAAATTGAAAACATGCCCATGCACTCGGCCCCAGGTCCAGACTCATGGAATTCAATATTTATAAAGAAATGCAAAGTGCCGGTAGCACAGGCACTCAGTATAGTGTGGAGGAAGAGCTTGGACACGGGGGAGATACCAGATGCACTTAAAGTAGCAGACATAGCCCCTCTACACAAGGGAGGGAGCAAAGCATTGGCAAAAAATTATAGACCAGTTGCACTAACATCGCACATCATAAAAGTATTTGAGAGAGTGATTAGGAGTCAGGTCACCAATTTCATGGAGACCAATGACCTTCATAACCCAGGCCAACATGGATTTCGAGCGGGAAGATCGTGCCTCTCACAGCTACTTGAGCACTACGACAAAGTCACTGAGGCATTAGAAGAGAAACAGAATGCTGATGTGATATACACGGACTTCGCAAAGGCCTTCGATAAATGTGACCATGGCGTGATAGCACACAAAATGAAGTCAATGGGAATAACCGGTAAAGTAGGACGCTGGATACTCAGTTTTCTGTCAAACAGGACTCAGCGAGTAACTGTCAACCATATAAAATCTAGTCCAAGTGCAGTGAAAAGCTCTGTACCTCAGGGTACAGTCCTTGCACCACTGCTTTTCCTTATTCTCATATCAGATATAGACAAAGATACAAGTCACAGCTTCGTATCATCCTTTGCAGATGACACAAAAATCAGTATGAAAATTACCTCGGCTGAGGACATTGAAAAACTTCAAGCTGATATTAATAAAGTTTTCGACTGGGCATCAGAAAATAACATGATGTTTAACAGTGATAAATTCCAGGTACTCAGGTACGGTAAAAATGAGGACCTTAAACATAATACAGAGTACAAAACACAATCAAATGTACCCATAGTAGGAAAACAGCATGTAAAGGATTTGGGAATAATAATGTCGGACGACCTAACGTTTAAGGAGCATAACCAAGCAAATATTGCGACAGCCAGAAAAATGATAGGATGGATTACGAGAACTTTCAAATCCAGGGATCCCATCACAATGGTTGTACTCTTCAAGGCACTTGTGTTGTCCCGTCTTGAGTACTGCTCAGTACTCACTTCCCCCTTCAAAGCAGGAGAGATTGCTGAAATAGAGGGAATACAGAGAACATATACGGCACGCATAGACGCAATAAAGCACCTAAATTATTGGGATCGTCTCAAAGCCCTCCAAATGTACTCACTAGAAAGAAGACGAGAGAGATATCAAATAATATACACCTGGAAGATACTGGAGGGCCAAGTACCAAATCTACACAGTAAAATAACAACGTACTGGAGTGAACGACATGGAAGAAAATGTAGAATAGAACCAATGAAGAGCAGAGGTGCCATAGGCACAATCAGAGAACACTGTATAAACATCAGAGGTCCGCGGTTGTTCAACGTCCTCCCAGCAAGCATAAGAAATATTGCCGGAACAACCGTGGACATTTTCAAGAGGAAACTAGATTTATTCCTCCAAGGAGTGCCGGACCAACCGGGCTGTGGTGGGTATGTGGGCCTGCGGGCCGCTCCAAGCAACAGCCTGGTGGACCAAACTCTCACAAGTCGAGCCTGGCCTCGGGCCGGGCTTGGGGAGTAGAAGAACTCCCAGAACCCCATCAACCAGGTATCAACCAGGTATCAACGTGGCTTGAAGATATGAGAACTAAAAAATGAATTTTAGTTTTGTACTGCACTTAGTTCTAAAAGTGCACTGGGCATTCCAAAAGTAATGTCCAGTGCAGTTGATGACGTTAAATTAATGAAAGTAGGTCTCTCGACAGGTCTCGAATTAAAATATATCACTACCCTCCCCAGCTAAGTAACCAGACCACATGGAAAGTTACTGGTCATAGTGGATTAGCAAACAATTAGGAGTCAAGTTGATGGAGCAACTGAGAGGCATTAACTAAGTGAATACACTAATGAATTTGGCAGGACTTTCAATTACAAATCTGTCCCATCAAAGCCCTTTCAAGGCGTCAAATTTTGAAATATAAATGTTAAAAATATTGTTAATGATCCATGGGAATCCCTTGGATGTGTTACGAAAACTTGGTTTAGAGCCTTCTAGTGCAGAAAGTAACATTCAGGTTGAGCCAGTTAGAACATACATTAATTACATAAATATTATGAATGAGAAAAAGATTCCATTACTTTAGGACCACCTACCCGGTTATCCATCCATCCATTGAGAAAACTTTCCAGGTTTTCTTCTGTTATTCGTTGAACCAGTTTGTGTGGGAACTTGCTACGTATGAAATCTGCAAATATAAATTATTAACCGACTTCCAGTCAAAACATATTTATAGAGTCAATCACAGAAATATTAAATGTAGACAATGGAAACTGATGTGACTGTCTCGTGCTGAAGACCAAGATTCTGAGACTTACCCAAAGAAGAGACCATGCTGAGTGAGGCATCTGTGTAGTGGTAAGGATGACCATCCAGCAGCATCACCAGGTATGGCACAGTCTTCACACCAATTTTTTTAGCAAGCTCAATTTCTCGACCAGCATGAACCTGAAAGTTGGACAAGAACATAAATAAAGATGCTTAAAAACACGTTCTATAAAATGGTAAAAAAAATTATAATACGGTTTAGGTAAATATTATTTTATGAAATTAACAAATACCGCAGCTACTTGATGTATGAGTTTAAAAACAAAACATGATAAAAACATTTTAATGATTATACTCCTTGGATGAAAATATTTAAAGGTAATAAAAATTAAAAGCATAAGAGCAAATAGATAACTAAAAAGAATTAAACATACTATAATTGCTGAAAATAAAGCTTTGGAACAAAGTGAGAGGTGAGATTACATGAAAATATAAATATAAATAAAAAGAAATACTGTAGAGTATAACCTCAGTTCAAGGAACTATATGGGACCAACCCCAATTCATTGCAGTTAGGGATTCGTTGTAACCGGAGATGCCTCCAGGATGTATTTCCCAAGCCATATGGGAGGATTGCACTTACTGAAATTTTCATTTCAACATATAATAGCCAACAGTCAAATGAACATGCCTGCACAAAAAAATTAACCACATCTAGCTTATTTCTCATGTCCCCAGCCTCTAAACTCATTTTCAAAAGGTAGGAGGACCATATTTGAGTGAACGAAAACCTTGCCAACTCAGAATAAAAAACAAACCATAGAATTTGGTTTTAAATATCCTACAAACAATATTTCACCTACAAACAAATACTCTACTGTATATTGTATTAGGATATACACCTAAGTGAGATAAATAGACTATAGATAGTTTAGGAAACTGTACAGATTACCACTATTAAAGTAAAAAACAAATACAGTATACTGAATAACACTGGAGTCATAAAGCACCACTCTTTCTAAATTTGAGGCAATCTACCGTGTGTTAGTTAGATTTCTTAAAAAAAAAAAAAAAAAAAAAAAGAGATATATACGAAAACAAGAAAATCACTTGGTAAGCAGAAGTCAGACATATACTTATGAAATTTCAGCAAATCAAAAACAAAACTGCAGCAGTAATTCCTGTACTGTATTTTGTGATGAAAAATATAATGTAAATTAAACAATTATTTAAAAATCATAAATTATGGAGAAGAAATAAGATAAATTATACATTTAGATAACATATGAGGTATAACTCTGGTGAAAATGTTTATGACCACTAAAGCACAATTACTCTAATTTTGTTTGAAGTAATAATATATTGTCTTGTTACTTTATGTCTTCCTGCCAATAAAAAAAAATTGTTTTCTAGCTCAATGCACCTGACAGCTACCAGTGAATAGCAGCAATATTTTATGTGCAGAATTTGTAACTGTGAAAGCTTACCTTATCCATACATTTATCTGTTTTGTTTTATACAGAATGCTCTCTATTAACTGAAATCTCCATATTGACTGACATGTTTGGTTCAGGAAAAGGCTCCAGTTTATGAAACCACCAGTTAAATAATCCATAGACTGAATAAATGGGAAATCACATTGAGATATAATATCTTGTCAGGCTGAGATCTCAGGATTATTTGATTGAAGGATAAATAACTTGGAGATTTGAGATAGAATCTCTGGATTATCTGGATCTTCAGATTAACTGACCAGAGGTTGGTCCCAATTAGATTTGGATAGGGAAGGGAATTATCAAAGGAAAGTGCCAAGCCATTACAACTATACTGTATAGCACTTAGAAGGGGTCAGGATAAGGATTTGGGATGGGACAGGGGCAAGGAATGGTGACCAACCACCTGGATGATCGGGAATTGAATGGTGACCTGCATGAAGCGAGACCGACCTTCTACCGTCCAGCCCACGTGGTTAGGCATTATATGAATAATTGAGAGTACACTATAGAGCCACTACTAAATGCTTTATCTGAAAAAAATATCTAAAAGAGCTTAAAATTGCTAAACAAAACAAAATATTTAACATGACAACGCACAACACCACAACAGTACTCAAAAAAACAGGCATATAAAATACTAAATAACAAAATAAGCATCACAAGACTAATCTAACTGGTTTAATTATACATAATTTTTTGTTTACACACTTTTTATAAAACTAAGTTATTTAAAAGATGGCCAACAATTAAAATGAATTTAACATGTGTGAAGGCACTTACGTTTTTCTTTTATTTGCTGGTAGAATATATCCAGTCTAAACTATATATAGATGCAAAACATTTCTTCATAATTACAGTAAACTAATTAAACGGAAAACAATTCAAGTACCTTATCTAACACACACTCCTTCGTATAACAGTTAATGAAAGAAATTAGTACATACAGTGGCCATGCCAAAATTAATGGGTGCCAGTTCTTCATCCAGTCTTCTCCATATGGGTTCAATGTGTGCACAGGCTATGCACCAGTCTGAGTAGAAAAGGATCAGGTAAGGCTGTTTCTTGCTTAATGGGATAATTGAGTTTTGATAAGACCTGAAAGATTTCAGATTTCATGAACAACATTAATCTTAAAATAGATCTGAGGTTTTATATAACTTAATATAAAACTAATTTACTTGATAAGCCGCATTCGAGTTTTTCTCCTAACACTGCAGGTACATGTCATCAACATATATAAATCAAGCAGGAAATTATTACAACTATGAAATTTCAAAACAAAAAAAAATTTAAATTATCTTACATAAACAAATAATTTACTACTTTAAAACTGATTTGTGTAGTAATCTTTCAATCCCTCCAACAATATATCTATATCTCTCCATCTATCTGCATACACTTCTGTATCTATATTCTATACAGTCCACTCCTAGGATGCACGGATGAATCCCTTTTTTTTTTCTTCTATATGTTGGGTTCTGAAACTGCTTAGCTTGTTTGCACTAAACAATGATTAAATACACTGATCATTATCTACATAAACTACCTACCAGAAGGAACACGGAATTATATGAACATGTTTGCTGGTGATGCTAAGATATGAGAGAAGATAAGAAACTTTTACGACTGTCAAGCACTTCAAGAAGATCTAGACAAAATAATTGTATAGAGCACCATTTGGCAAATGGCATGTGGAATAGAAGAAAATAGGCCCACACACACAGCCTACAAATTATGTGAAAAAGCTTTACAAAATTATGTTAAAGGAAGAGATCTAGGGGGTGCTTCTCGATAGAAAACTATTCCCAGAGGACCACACAAAGAACATTGTGAGAGGAGCCTATGCTATACTTTCCAATTTCAGAATTGCTTTTAAATACATGGATGATGATATATTAAAGAAACTCTTCACAACCTTTATGAGACTAAAGCTGGAATATGCAGTGGCTGTATGGTGCCCATATCTTAAGAAGCACATCAACAAACTGGAAAAGGTGCAAAGACATGCAACTAAATGGCTCCCAGAACTGAAGGACAAGAGCTATGAGGGGAGGTTAGAGGCATTAAATATGCCATAACTAGAAATAGAGGAAATAGAGGTGATATGATCACTACATACAAAATAGTAACTGAGAATCGACAAAATTCATAGGGAAGAATTCCCGAGACCTGGAACTTCAGGAACAAAAGGACATAGATTTAAACTAACTAAACAAGTCTGCTGAACCAATATTAGAAAATTCACTTTTGCAGAGTGGTAGACAGTTGGAATAAGTTAAGTGAGAAGGTGGGGGGAGGCCAAACCCGTCAGTAGTTTCAAAACATAATGTGTTACGTATACTGGAATAATACTTTCTGAGGTGAACTTTCCTATTATTATTAAAATCTTTATATGTTGCTATTTTCAAGATATTGCATAACAAAACTTTCCAAAAAATTTGCTTCTACCAGTACATAAAACAAATATTATAAAACACACAAATAAACAAATGTATACATTCAAATACATCTGTATAAAAGTATTAGGTATACATATACACATGCATAAATGCTACAAAATTTTAAACAAAAATATCTTCATATAAATTTATTATTTAATGATTTTGGATTAATTATTCAGAACTTGTTTTACGGAATATATTCATAGCTACAGTTTGGCAGGACAACCACCACCACCTTACACTGACCAGACTTACACGTGAACACATATTCAACACACAAATGCAATAAAAGAATAACATTTAACGTTCAAAAAACTAGGCAGTTAACTAAGAGGCCTAAACCAAGAGAATGGTAGATCACTATGTGGATACATGGTTAAAACCACTAATAAGTAACAAACACATATAGTACTGTATACAAATTTTCTAATATGTACATGCAGGTATAACATATACAAATTCACACACACACACACACGCATACAGTACATACAGTGTAATATATATTCCAGAATTGAATATATTTTACAAACCCTGAGAGTTACAAAAGTGAATTATATAATCTGAGTGCATATCAGTTGTTGTGTAGGGCTTGGCTTTTCAACAGGGTTTGCATCATCTCTTCAGCACTGTAGTTGGCTTCTTGCACCATAAACTGGCTCAAGGCAAAACCAACAACCACAGATTTTGTTAACAAATAACCCTCCCCCACCACCCACCCTACACATGAAATAAAAATGACAAAAGTTTCAGTTTGCCGTGGACCCTCATCAAGTTGTGACCTCATGACCTACATACTATGGAATGCTGGAAAGAGATGCAATACCCTTTGAGAATCTTAGGCCCAAGATACTAGGCAAGAATTTAAAAAATACAGTCCATTTTCTGCAAACCCATCATGTTTGCATAATACACAGTACTGTACAGTGTACAAAGACTACTTAGTCTTGGGGATTTTAAAATCACACTTCAATCGCAAAAATTCAGTAAATGCTAAAAAAAATAGAGTGCACAGGAAAACTCTCCTTAGATGAATTTGAACTTACTTGTATGTTATAGACTGCTTTTTATATATATTTGTTCCATCTCCATGCTTGAAATTAAAGCGAAAACTCCCTCCAAATGTACTGAAAATATCATCAAAAGGATCAAATCGTCGGTATGAGGAATAATCGTGTTGCTTGCGGAAGTTAGGTTGTTCTTCCGTTTGACCTGTAGAGTCATACAACCGCCGCCTTTCAGGGTCCATCAACAACTGGAAAAAGTAAAGCATTAGAATAATTTGTATTGAATACATTAGAGTACTATCCAGTACTGTATATACAAAGAGACTATGCTTGAATGGAACCACTTAAATGTAACTTTGAAGTTCAAAGACAAAGAAAGAAGAGGTATCATGATATAGCAAAAAGCCCCGATAGGTAACTACATCCAAGAAACAATTTAAGACAATCTAAAAACAAATATTAAAATAATAATTATAATTTCAACAAATGTCCTAGGTGACCTTGCTATGTTGCTCATTTAGTGTAACAGTGTTGTTACTGAATGATTTAGGATTTCATTATGATTATTTTCATGAATAAATTATTGTGTAATACATTTACATGCATAATTAATATTTTGATTTCTACCAAGCCTTTCACGTGATAAAACATAATGCAACAGGACCTCACTTGAATGAATGGCACTATCGAAATCCTTCATTGGCCAAACACAGTCATGTTTAGTTTATTAATTCACCGGGTTTCTTCACCCTTTTTCACCCACTCATCCTCCTCCCTTTCATCCCCCACTCTTCCCATTTCTCACGGAAAATGTATTAGAAATACTGTACTTAACACTTTCGCTCGGGGATGACGCAGCATTGCGTCATCCGTTTACTGGCGGTAATGCCGGGGATGACGCAGCGTTGCGTCATCCACTTTAAAAATTCGCCAAAAATCAGGTTTTTATCCGATTTTTTGGGGACTGGTTTTAAAATGCGCGCCGATGTCTTCCCATTTTCTTTGTTGCGCCTAGTGGCCCTCAGGCGCAAAATACTAAACATATGTGGGCGGGAATTGGGAGTGTAGCTGGAAGGCGTCTGAGCGCTCACTCACGGCTAACGCGTGGCCCGTCTTCAACTCGTCGGCGGTTGGAGCGTGACCAGGTTTTTTATTTTATATGTTAATATTCCTCTAGAGAATTCTATTACGAACCCATTGAGACCAAAATGAAAGACCTAGGACGAAAATTGAGGTGACCAGAGTGAAAATAGTGAAAACATTTTATCGTGTTTGCGCGCTCCCGGGTAACTCGTTCGCACTTTCTCTGCTTGCTGCGGGTAATTAGCCGGGCTTTTGGAGTTTATATGCATTTAGTGCTGTAGAGAATTTTATTGCGAACACAATGATACCAAATTTAATCTCGTAGAACGAAAATTGAGGTGACAAAGTTGAAGAGAGTATACACTTTTCGGAATTGACGCGCGCTTCCATGACACGCTGGGGCCCATATCGCCCTGTCGAGGGGTGGCGCGCGGGGTGCGCGAAAGTGTTAAACAACTCTTTGGAGCTCTCGCAGAACATATTATGAAGGTCTAAAAACTCTATGGGAAACAACAAATATTTCACACTTGACTCCATGAAAACCACTTTAGTAGGGGTCTATAAATGTTGACATTCCTTAAAAGCATTTAATTTAGGCCCATCCTGAGGAGCCTATGCCCCTCCCGTAGCCCAGACCACTGCCCGCTGCAAATTTCTAAAAGGCTAGCCCCAAGCATCTGGCCTCCAACTTAAAACAGAGACAAACAAGCACAAAAATATTACTGTCTTATACTATAGATATAGACTGAGACTACACCTAAGAGACTTGACAACTCTTTACACTTGCAAAGTTCATTACTCTATTACAAAAATACACAAAAATAATTTGAGTAAATTATTTCTCACCTCATATGCTTGGTTGATTTCGATAAACTTTGGTTCAGCTTCTGGTGATGGATTTTTGTCCGGGTGCCTGCAACAAATCCAGAAAATTAAACTAATGCAGTACACTCATAATTCCTAATGTGAATGTGCCATGTCTCAACTTTTGCCAGTAACACCAACAAGAAAATACTAAAATTGATCTGTTCTCATCTAAGACATGAGGTGGCCTTAACCCTCTAACTGCTCCTGTGGCTCTCAAACAGTATGGACTGGTGCGTCTATCACCTGTGGCAAATTTAATGTGCTCTGTTATATAAAACATTCCCAAAGATTCTATGTGGACATCATTCAACACTGGAGAACTCTGGCACTCATTTGCCATATTGAATAAAAATCCTGAAAACCTTAACTCCCTTTCTGGGAAGTAATACAAAAAATTGGCACCATGTCAGGTGCATCACCATCCATTTAATAATGTCTATGCCAGGAACCATTGATGCCTAGCAAATTTTCAAGGACTTTTTGAACCTTTATGATGTGAATTATGAGGAGGAATCTATTACAAATAGACAAAATACTAATTCTCATAATTTTATGTTTACATTTATTCATCTCGCTACAGCTAAACTAAAAAAAATTTTTTTTAATTTTTTCCACACAATTGGTTACGTGCCCCATTGCACATGTAAATTGGCCTAATTTACATGTGTGCAGTTAGGGAGTTAACTGTAAATTGTAAAGATCTACAGATAAATCCATTTTCAAAAACAGGATAATCTGAACTTAAGACTTATCAAGGTCCCCATAGGCCACGGACGGTAAACCTTCATGAGAGCTAAGCCTCCAGCACAAGTTTCATCAATATGTCTACTCCTATAATAAGACTTGACAAAGTTCGTTATTGATAAACAATGATGCATGCATATTCCAATGAAAATAGTTAATACTACTACTTTAAGATTTTTAATCAAAAGTTTCATGTATGAGTAACTACCTCATCACCTAACCCCACCCTTCATCTCTATTTTCACTAAACACTGTCTGTATCAATAAACCATCTAAGACAAACTAACATTGAATCATGTATAAAATATGCTGGGAATTCTTAGTGCTGATGCAATCTGTTTGGCAAGATTAGAAATTAGCATTATTTGCCATTTCATGCAAAGGGACCACTCAGCCCCATGCTGCCTATGACCATCCCCGGAGAAAGATCAGTCACCCTGCAGAGTTTAGTGATGTTAGCCCCTTGCGTCTGGCCCACGCTCGAAATGACATTCCTTTTTATAGATATAAACAGATAAAGAACACTTTAGAAGGAAATACACAAGTTCCAGGTGAATATAATGTTAGGTTAGATTATTTTTACTATGTGCTAGATACACAATTTTTTTATAAAATAAGCGTGTGATGAATTGAGCAGAAAGTATGAAGACTTTGACTGCAGTGATTGGGTAGTAGAGTACATTAACTATAAGCCATCCCTTACAATAATATAATATATTGGTAGTACAGTATACCCATGTTTATCACCGGAGTGACGACACAGTATGGGCACGACTCACACTAATCCATACACACAAATATAAAGTGTGCCATTCACAGAACTCTTACAGAACACAAACACTGTCATGTATAGAGTACACATTAACCTCTTACACATGTGTAAACCGCTACATTACACATAAATACACCACTAGTCTCGTCACTCCAAAAGACACTCCCTTTGCACCTTACCATTCTTTGGCTAGTTTTTTATAAGCTTTCTTTATATCCTGGGTATCAGCTTTTCTCTTGACGCCAAGAATATCATATGGGTCTCTAATTTTGGCTAAGACACACATGCAGGCGGAGAGTAAGAATAACCCGGCCCACAGTAGCGGCCGCCGCATGATTGCTGGTGTGCGGAATCCCGGCCCCGCGCCTCCCTCACGCCTCTCACACATACACGCCTCGCACACAGATACAACCATTAACTCATTTAATATATATTAAAATATATATCAATAAATGACGATAGCTGTAATCAATTTTGTTCGCATAATTAGGAATTGTTAGTGTAATATTTTGATGGTGTGTTAGTGTTAGTGATGACAACAGAGGCGGCCAGCTGGTCGATGACACCCGCGGCCACCATTGGTCCCTTTAACCCGCGCAATTTCAAAACTACTTCATCCAATGTCCAACTAACTAACGACTTATATTGAATTTTTGTAACTAGCTCATCAAGATTGTATCTTGCTTAGCTAAATGAACTGTGGGGTTCAGTCCCTGAGCCCATTATGTGCCTCTGTAACCCTTTCCACTACTGCCCACAAGATGGGTATGGGGTGCATAATAAGTGAACTAAACTAAACTAACTAATTTCCAGAAGCATGACCTTCCCAATCAAGTCAAAGGCTGTACCTCTCTCAACCAGTTTAAGAGAAAAACTAAGTACTACCTAATAAGCGCCATGTGACCTAACTTACCTCCACCCCATCCACTAAATGTCAACCCAAGTCCTGTTATTTTCAAATACTGTTTGTTGACCAACTTGTATAACTACTGATTTCCGCCATGATTTTTTCTTTTTTTCTTTTTTTCAACTCAATTTATACTTTGATCTCATTTAGTATTAATTAAATTTTAGTCTAAGTGTTTTTTCCCACAGATTTGGGATGGGACGGGGGGGGGGGGGGAAGGAATGGTGCCCAACCACTTAGGCTGGACGGTAGAGCGACGGTCTCGCTTCATGCAGGTCGGCGTTCAATCCCCCGACCGTCCAAGTGGTTGGGCACCATTCCTTTCCCCCCGTCCCATCCCAAATCCTTATTCTGACCCCTTCCCAGTGCTAAATAGTTGTAATGGCTTGGCGCTTTCCCCTGATAACTCCCATCCCTCCCACACCTTGCCCAAAACGCTGTGCTTATTAGTGACTTTAAGCATTGTATGTACTAGCCCTATCTAGAAATCCAACATTATGTTTATAACACAACTTGTATGTATGTACTTTTACCTGAATAAATATTTGACTTGATCTGATAACACTTAGAAGGGGTCAGGATAAGGATTTGGGATGGGTTGGGGGAAATAAATGGTGTCCAACCACTTGGACAGTCGGGGATTGAACGCCGACCCGCATGAAGCGAGGCCGTGGCAAAGAGAAGAAGTTGGAGGCGGAGAAGTGGCACCAACCCAGCAGGTAGAAACGTGGAAAGGATGGAATTCTGGTTAGTAATCCGTGAGGAACACCCGCGGCCTCAGATCATTGAGTGGAAGATGGGGAGCTGGAGGAGGTATCGGGGATTAAAGTTTGGAAAAGGTTGTGAAACTCAGGAATGGAAGAAAGATAGGGAAGAGTAGTGCGATGTAACACACAATAGTAGGTCATGTCAGAGAAAGAGTTAAGACAGGAGACCTGCGCCTTACCTCGGGAAAAAGAGCGACCTCGAAGTCTGGTCGTTCATCCCAAGAGCTTGTGTTTGTGTAGCCGTTTCAGTTTCCATGCATCATTATTTCAAATGTTTGGACCCCAGAGCCAAGCGAGACCTCCTACCAGGACAGCAAGCAAGGCCAAGCACTGGTCAGTGCAGGGAGGGGTGCGTTGTCCAATGTTGGTGTCCCCCATTTTCAACAGGGAAGTCCCACAACATCGTTCTACTTTCTACATCGATGCAAAGACGTCTTTCTCCTTCTCGCCCCAGCTTGGACACCCATGCAACTCCAGTGAGTATCAAACGACGTTTGATCATTTTGCATGTACAGCGCCAGAAAGACAGAAGAGAGGTATTCAAGGTAACCCCTGTTAGCCCCCGGGTAGTCATACGTGAGGCCCCCTCATCACAGGGTGAAACTCTTGAGGGGAGTTGTACGTACATCGCCCGGATAAGGGCAGACGAGACTAAGACAACCCCTCCACCGACCCCAGGGGTGAGCTCACTCACCACCACAAGGCGAAACTCTTGAGTGAAGTTGAAGCAGATTAAAAAGACCTCTCAATAATAATAAAAATCTAATTACCAATGTTTTCCACACGAACATCAGTGATAGTCTCCAAAATTTTAGTTAGAAGCTTTGCAGTATGACCATACAAAGTTTAAACTTGAAGCCCTACATGGTTTCCTTACATGAGTGGTACATGTTTGAAGTTAATCCTAACTTGTGTCCTGAAGACACTGTCTCGAAACAAAATATCACAAAAATCACAATAAGGCTGAATAATTAGTCACCCTTAGACTGTAATACCTAATAGAGGAATAATGAAAAGAAAAATACTTTTTAAGAGTTTATTATAAAATTAAGTCTCTGAGCACTGTACATACTGAACTAGCATTAGTGAGCTATAATACAAAAATGGCAATGTGTAAGTGAAGTCCAGAAGTCTGGCGACAGTCCCACAGAGGGCAGGAAGTGTTGAGCAGAGGAACTAATGAAATGAATGGAGCAGCATCAACTTATAATACAAACTGCTGTGATGGGGATCAAGATATATTTTAAATACATATTATTAAAATATCATTGTAGGTCTGGCTAGGATTACAAACTGCAGCAGAAGAGCAGGTCATGTTCAAATGAACGACTCTGGGCAATTAAATTACAGTATATCCATTATACAATTATCTTGTATGATCAAGAACTGAGGATGCTAAATGCATTAACTAAATTTAATTGCCATTAAAAAATCTAATACAACTTTTGTTGAATACATTTAAATCATATTTTTGTAGTGTCAAAGGCCAACATTCAATAAACACATTCTTCATAATAATAATTTTTATTAACATTTCTATGCATAAAGGGGGGGGGGGGACATCCAATTACACATGGATATACCAGAGTTCATTTATTTAGTTTTCAACAAATGCTCAACTACGTTACTATAATTCTACATGCAGCTCATATCATGCAAAATTGTTACTACCATACCTGGTCAAGCCTTCATTATGACTGACCCCTGAACACTGCCCTGCTCCACAAAAGGTCCTGCTGCAGTCACTTAAGATTTTGTCGCAACACCAGTCAGCTCAGAATTGGCCACCCGCCAACATCACTTGAACTTCACAAATAAACAGAGAAATCCTGAAAACAGGTGGCACCTAATTGTCAAACCACAATCCCAAAACTATAATAGCATTCTGTGCAAATCAAACCTATGATAATGAATATTTTATTAAAGCTTGATCACAAAATTAAAAAAAATGTAAAACAGTTTCTAGTTCAAATTTTACAGTCTTCTTTAATTACCTAATAACACAGGACTTAATTATGTATATAAAATGAATCCAGAGTAGATATCTTTAATACCCTGGTGGGACAAAAATAGTTGGCCATATTTCCTTTCATCCTAAACCTAATTTGTGCAACTGGCAGTCACCATCAACATGCATATACAGTACTTGAAAAAATAATGTTGGAAGGATTAACAAGTTATTAATTAACAAATATAGTCATTGGATTATAAACTAACAAAAATGCAAACCCCAGCATTAGTTACAAGACCAATTTTCTATTAACCTAACAAATGAGAAATTAGTGGTAGGTGGTAAGTTGACAGTAACTTCTCTTACCTTCTGACAATGTCATTGATATTTTAGTAATAACTAACATAATATGCTTAAAATATACTTGTGATTAATATTATACTGTAAGAGCTCAGTAATAAGCTGTAACGAAAATCTCGGAATGAATTCATGTTCAAGTTTTTTTACCTTTTAACCTAACCAAGTTGTTGGGTTAATTCATAATAATGAATTCATAATACAGTAATGACATAACCTGAAAAAAAATTTAAAAGAAAAGATTTTATAAAAAGATTGTACTGAATGAGAAATCTGAATAAATTTGAGTGCTTGTGCTTGACTTTCAACTTGAACAGAAATTTGGGTTATTGCAATTACTTCTGAATGAGAAACCTGAATAAATTAGAATGTGTTCATTTTTGGACATAACTGGCTAAAAAATCGGCTAACTCAAATAGGGGTGGGCTCCTTATGACTTGGATTACTGAGCGTAGACAGTATATAAAATGTGATGAAAATTTGTTTGTAAATATTAATTCAATTTTTTATTATAACTAAATGTGAAAAGCTGAGGCTTTACAGTAAACAAATAAAAAACAAAACTAGATTAATTTAGCTTAACATTTTTCAGTGGTGTAACCTTTTAAAAATAAATAACTAAACTTCCATAGTTGAAAACATAATTATCCATTCATATATTAGTTCCTTGGCAAAGATATTAAGAAAAACAATAACAAATGCTGCTGTATTTGAACTATTAAGTTTGTGAATTCTGCATAAAAATCTTGATAAATTGTATTGAATTCCATTAAGAATACAAGGACATTAACACTATACAATGGTTGCTCAAAATTCTGACTTACTTTACGGAAGCACTATATATTTTTACTGTAAAAATATAAGGTTGATGAAATACAGAATTACCAGATATTGCTTTGAAACAATAAATAACAAATGAAGGAAATAAAATGTGTGAATACACACTGGTACAGTACTGTAAGTATATAAATCAGCAATAACCACACATTACAACAAAATTATTGAATATGGCAAATGAATGTTTTTTATTTCTAAAGATAAATAATTGTGAAATACGTCATTTATTATACAAATGCCATAATTTAATTTTTCACATGTAAAATTTAATCCTGCTACATATAATTTAACAAATAATAAAAATGATTTATATAAATTATTATTGAATGCAATATTAATAAATTAAAGGCACCATGCTCAGCCTGATGATTCTGTAAAATTCATTAAACTTTCAGTATGATATTAAGAATTTCCCCCACAAAAGAACCCTTAAATATCATAAAACATATATTTGAACCAATAATAAATTTACTAATGTATCAAGAACCCAGAAAAAACGTCTTTCACCAATTCAACTAAAGTACTGTATATTAAAAATTTTGCATTAATCAACTCAGAAAATATTTAACTCACTGAACTAAGACCATATTTTGTACGTACCAAAACAACTTGTCAATCTCCCACTTAATCATGACCACATTTGTATACACCAATGCAACAAGCATTTAGACAGGCTGACCTGCCGGCACAAATGATGGCTCCTCTTCAATTGAACTATCTAATGAATATACTGTATTCCTTGCAAATAGGCATTTGTATATCTACTGCAATATGCATACCTGTGACTAAAGAATTATATTCTAGAGCCAAAGTATTACTTTCAAAATAAAAAGGTTATACAAAAATATACATAATATATGGTAAAGTGAAGGAAGGACAGCTGAAGTACATAACACACAAGTGTAAAATAAAAGATCTATCAGTTCGAGACCTGAAATCCCAGGTGCTGACGAGATGGATGTGCATTCACTCTCTAACATTTATTTTTATGTTTTTTTTTTCATTATATCTAAGCAATTTTGCTTTTATATACTGTACCAAGTCAATGAAGTAATTAAATATGTTGTTCAATACCAATTCATTAACAGGCCAAACCATCATTGTCAAGAAAATTCATATAGTAATATAAATTTTCCTAATTATTGTTGTAATACAGTACTGTATTTGTAATTTTATTAAACCGTAAGGTTAAATGTGTGTAGACATACTTAACATTAATGTATATGGTAATGCAAATATAATGAAGCTCATAAAGCACATTCAAAAATAAATGTTCTTCTTTTCTTTGTATACAGTGGTTCTAAAATGACCAAGTGCTTCCAGTTTATAAGACAGTAACTTGAGTACTGTACTGTACACAGTTTCCCATAGATGCGGACAGTACTAGGAAGTCTGTTTGGTTATCGAGGTCCCCTTAGGGTTGGCCTAGTGGGGTCCTTCCCCCACAATGCAATGCAAAACAGCTATCCACATCCATGGGTACCTACATACTGCTTCTGTAGACAGTAAATAATGTAGATGAGCCTATGTAGGTAAACAAAAGAATCAGTTGTAATGCCCAAGCACTTCTATCCTGCCACAGGAATTAAACCTTTCGTCTGTGACTCGACTGCACTAAATGAAGCATGGTATTGTAATACCTGTAGTAAATTCAAATTAAAAAGAGTAGAATGCAAAGAGAGTAATAATATGAGGCTGAGAATTACTAAAAGTAAGACAGCAAGACTGACTGACAAAATGGCAGCGAGAGGTGCCAAAACATACTCCATAGAACATCTGCAATATTTGAACTTGCTGAAACTCTACCCCTTGAGAGTAAGTAATTAACAAAAAAAACTATACCAGTATGCCTATAAAGCACTATTCAAGCTACAGGTACAATCAAGGTATCTTAGATTATATAGTACTGTTCAGCACTCAAGTTCCCAATACGAGAGCAGGAAGATGCAAGCTTAGCCATACTGAATGAATCAAAGTAAAAAAGAAGTGAACCTAATGTCATTCATTAAGGGAATCGATGAGAAACGATTTATGACCATCCTTGATATCAGGAAATTCAAAAATGAAATTCAGATATTCAAAGTTTTGAATGAAATAGGACAATTTGGACAAAAATGGGCAAACTTCTTCTCCATTAGTCAACCTAGTGTGGCCAATAACAAAATAGTTTAATGAAGTTACCCATTTTGGTTCTGGTAGCATGGAGGCAGCCCACATAAAACATTGTGTTTGATGGTATGGAATATAGTGTTGTATACTGTATAGCTATCCATCATGTAAATAAGGCTGAATTTTGTATTGGATAGTAATCAGTCGGGGTCATGTTTAAATGGCAGACTTTGCTACCTTATTTGCTAGTCAATGCCAATATGACTAGGAACACAGCAAAACTCCCCTTATTGATATTTACTAACAATACTGAAGATCTAGCCAATAATGAATTTCTGTAACTAAGGAATTTATATTAAAACTTTCAATACCCAGTAATGTATTTTATAGTCTACAACAGTTGCAAACATTTGTTGAGGTAGGCTTCTTAACAGCATGAATAAGACACCATTGAAATTATAGCTATACAGCATCATAAAAAAACATGCAATAGCTATGAGGTATTCTGTAATGGTCCATACTAAATTAAATCCAAGCTACCAAAAAAAGTTGCATATTATAAGTGTATAATTATGTGAGAGAATAGTTACATGTGGCTTCAGAAGAGAGGTGGTTGTATTTCACCTTTTATCCATTCTAAACATGGTGTGTATACCAATTTGTGTTTATGGGGTAGCAAGTCTCAGGCTTAAACCATGCACGTGTGTATATATATTTCATCTATGTTTGTGGTGAGCTAGTTCCAGATACTGAACACTGTCTTAATCATATCTTTAAACTATGCTAAATGCCTGCTTGAGCAATTGTAAATTCCCTCACAATGTTCTCAGGCAGATAATATAGATATCCTATGAAAGTCTTCTTTTCTTTAATTATTTTTTAATTAACCCGTACAATAACCTTATAATTCAAGGACTAGTCTGGTAGTAAATCACTTTAATTTATCTATTTTTGTTTGTGCTTAAGGTGAATGTTCCATGCATTTGCTGCATATTCAAAATTTGGGCTTACACATGAATGTACAATATTCCGAAGAATTTATTGAAATTTGTGTGTTATTCTTGCATCTTCCATATTTACACATTCTGCTGGTGTGCTTCAGCCAGAACTCATCGTGATATGTTTTTTTTTAATCAAAGTTTTTTCTCTGTTCTCATCCATATTACCTTACATTTGTCTTGGATGAGATTTAGTTCCCACCAGCTGGATAAGTCATTCAGCTTGTCAATGTCTTCCTGCAAATTTTTGTAATCTAAATCTCTGTTCTCCTTTGTTTAATACCTGCACAAACCCCAGCCTAAGGGATTGTTTCTCCATTTATGCCCCTTCCATGTATAGATTTAAAGTTTGACTTTTCGAAAGCCTACTTTTGTTCTCTCCATCCTGGCTTCTCTTTTATCGAGACTGCCACGTGCCAATCATGCATCCAAATACTATATCCCGTATTCACATAATTATCCAAGTTTGGTTTACAGGTTGGGAGATTCACTTCTTAGACCTACCTCTTTGCTTCTAAGTATTTGGTGCAGCTACTATCCCTTATCTGATCTATTCCTTATAACTTCCCTAGCCCTCTGCCTCTTGAAGGAATGCAGGTTGAGCTCCTTTCACAAGGGAATGATTTCCAGTGCTTATTGTATTTACTGTAATACTCACTCCCACCATCTACAACTCTAATTGTAAAGAAACACTTCCAACTGTCTTCAGTATATAATGTATGGTTTTTCTGTCCTCTTAAATCGTGACCTTGTGTTCCTATTGCTAGCTCATGCAAACCCTTTTCCTTTTGTAAATTTACATTAAACTTTTTTATACAATACTGTATCAAATTAAATCTCTTTTTTTATTGTCTTCCTGGGTGGTCATTTCTTTCCTTCATTTTTCTTAGTTCATAATACTGTGCTTGATTTTAAAATCCATTTTTCTGCAGTCTTGGGACATTCAAAATTTTGCCAGTGGCTTTCATTAGGCACAAACACCATATTAAGTTGCAATTCCAATTTCGGTCGGCCTTACATGTATAAATTTTGTTTAGCATTTCGCAGTCCATGTAACTGGTGAAGTGGTAGCATGCTCACGAGTGATTTCGGCTGGGTTCAAGCACTGGATAGAGGGTAGACTGGGAACTAATCCTAAACCATTCACCCCTGTTCAACCAGCAGTAATTGGGGAACTAGTTATAAACCTACTGGCATATTATGTTTCAGGAAAAACTAGTTGGGTAAGGCTCAAGATGAGGGATTGGAAGGGAGAATGCAAAGCCTGCCAACATGAGTCAGAAGTAATCTGCTCCTGTATTTACCCAGGTAAAAAAATAAAAGAAAAACTCACCAGCATTTACATGAATTTTTAGCTAAAAATCCCCTTCATTATTATCCTTCACAGACCTTTGATTTAATTAAGATTCCTTATAATTTCATCACACAAGCTTGTCCTAATTGGACATTTTCACTACAATACAGTATGCATGTCTATTAAACAGCATTTATCCACATAGTCAGGGAATTACTGTATGTCTGAGCATGCGTTCAGTTTGGGGGCAGAATAAATTATTCAAGGACTGCCTCAAGGTGACCCTTAAAGACCTGGACATCATCCCCAATACTTGGAAATCGACTGCTCAGGACCGTCCAATTTGGAAAAGCAGTCACCACAGGGGGGGCCTATATGGCAGAGAATAGATGGACTGCAGAGGCCCAGAGGCCCATCTACAATACAACCACTCAAAAAAAAAAAAAAAAATGAATAGTCATCAAAGATATATGTAATAAAAAGATGCAGATAAATGACGACAATAATAATACAAAACCTACAACTCTAAAAAGTTATATAGCCCTGTCACAGAACATTCAAGAGGTTCAACATATCATTCAGGATGTCAATATAAGAGCAAAAACACAAAAAGGGTGACGTCAAGGGAGTCAGATTCACCAAGGATTTTATCGAGGAATATACGACTTGTAGGCAAAGAAAGAATGCAATATTTCTGATGATTCACATGTCCAGTTGCTATAGAGCAACATTGCTTAATTTTAATAGTAGCCATAATTTTTTTATTAAACTTATGTAATGTAATTAATATCTCGAGCAAATATGATAAAGCATTCTTGAGATATTGACAATAATAACCAGTTGGGAGAAGATAAAATCAAACCCAGTATGCAAGAAATCTGGATTCAACAGATGGATCTGTTAAAGTACAGTACTGTAATAAAATTGTTCCAGTTAGTTGCAATGGAAAAGTAATAAAAGATTTTTGATGGAGTGAGTAAACACATTCACTATATCAGAATTTAGTGCCCAAAAATAGGTAAAAAATCAAGAAATTATTAACAAATTTACCTTTTCCAAAGTGATAGTGTGGAATAAAATGCTGTATACCTTACACTCAAGATCTTGATATATATTTTGCACTAATAAAAAGAAAAATGTTGGGCATAAAACAGTGAAAAATTACAAACGTTCTTTTGAGGCAGCAGGTGTCCAGTACATTTTTAATGCTATTTAGCGTCACTCCACTATAAAGAAAAAATGAAGAAATACAGTATTGTTATGTCTTTTCAAATACAAACTGATGAGTACTTACAGGTGCTTGCTCAATAATGTGCATAGTGGTGAAATTAAGGTAGCTAGCAGTTGTTCCCTCTCAGCTCCAACAGAACTCAAGTAACCTCTCAGAAATCTAACAGCTAAAGAACATAACACAATAGTATGAATGATAATGGTGCAGTGACTTAACTAAGACTAAGGGGGAGAGAGAGATACAAACACTAGTGACTGTTGTAATCATAATACTGTACAGTGCTGGTAATCTGTATAAGCTTACTCTCCTCTTCCTCTCTGCATGTCCTTTATAACATGTGCCATAGCTTTATCAAATATCCTTTTATCTACCCACACTTTATATTTATTACCAGTAACTAAAAAAGTTTAATCACTATTATTTATTAACCAAATTTGTGTCTCTCAATGCCTAGATAAGTGAGACTAAGGTAAGAGCACGGAGATCGATTTCACAAGTAGTACCTTCCATCCAAGTATCAGTTTTTCACCAAAGACTTTCAAATAATGAATGTTATGATAAATATGTGCAGGGTTCACAAATATGTAAATGATCATGAACTGACCCTTTCCATCAGCAGCATAACAGAAGAACTCCTTCACTAAGACACTGCTGGAACCACTCATAAGCAACCTATCATGGTAATAAATTTGTCAACATGCACATTAATCCACTTGGCAACATTTTTGTAATAGTATTTGTCATGTTCCTAACAACCTATTAAAATGGATATACACACACACACCATGCTCCTAACAGCTCCTTGATCTGCACATAGTGCAGATGCAGATTATAGGGGCGCTGGTGGCTGAATGGACAGCACGCTGGACACACAATTCTGTGGACCTGGGTTCGATTCCCGGCGCCGTCGAGAAACAAAATGGGCAGTTTCTTTCACCCTGATGCCCCTGTCACCTTGCAGTAAATAGGTATCTGGGAGTTAAACAGCTGTTACGGGCTGCTTCCTGGGAAGGAGTGTGTTTGGGAAGGGGGAAGAGTGTAGAATTAGTAGTTAGTAACAAAAACAATTGACTGTTGAGAGGCGGGCCGAAAGAGCAGACCTTAACCACGGCATGCACAATAAGGTGAATACAATTAAATGAGGTGGTGGCGAAGGTGAAAACCATTAGTAGTTTCAAAGCATCATATGACAGAATAATGGGAAGATGGGACACCCCGAGTGTAACTCTCATCCTGTAACTACACTTGGGTGTAGTTTTATATCAGCTTTTTATATCAGATATAGTGTATATCAGTTTTCTCAAAAAGTTACAGTACTGTAATCAACACATGCACTTGTGCTTTGCAATATTTGTACTGTTGTGGTTATCACTGAACAATAATTTCTCATATATTTTGGAAATATATTATGATAAAAAGGCTCTGGTCATATTAGCATCAACCCTGGGAGAGAAAAAATGGCTAGCCACAAATGTGGCCCTCCTCTCAAGCCACACTACAAATTTGCGACACTTGCAATTACTGTACTGTATATAGATTTTATAGTTTTAGTAAATTTTGCAACTTATTATTTTAATACTGTACAGTATTTGGAAATTGCTTTTGATTTTGGAAGTTCCAAAATTTTTAAGTGATAATTTTGAATACTCCTGTATTACCAGTTGAGGGTCAATATATAAACAGTCTGTTTGAAAAATATAATTATAAAAAGACAGACCGAGCTTAGCTCAAAATTTAAAATAATTTTTAAAATTATTATTGGTGATGGTCCGGAAAATAGCCACATGTCACTTTCAAACAGAAGAAACCTCAAAGTTTCACATACTCAATCCAAAAGGTTTTAAATAGGTTTGGCCTGGAAAATTAATGAATTGGCACATGTATCTGGTGATGATTTTGGGACAGCCAGGTATACACGATGAAACGCTTCTCACATACAACATAAAATTTAACAGCTTATACACACAGGGAAAATGACAGTATAGAACATTATCATCCTCTACAGACAACCTGTATAACAATACAACAAGAAACAACTAAAGACTAAAACAACTAAGGAATATCATACTCAATGAATACATTAAAAAAAAAAGGGCATTCTAATACATAAACTGCATTCTAAAAAAGTTACATATTAGTCAACTGCATGACAGAATTTTGTGACAGGAGCAACTATGGTGAGAAAAACTTGCAGCATTATGAGCATCGTTTAACCATCTGCAGCACAGGATAAATGAGCTCTGCTTAAGGATCACCCAAAATAGCTGGTCGTGGCACATTTTGTACCATGGAACCTGTAGCTTGCATATCTACAGTCAAAGGCTAACCCAGCACTCAAGGGCCAACCCAACACTCACACAATACTTGAGCCACAAATCTGCACAAACTTGCATGTCACATTTATGCAAATTATACAAATGTCTTGGAATTTTAGCAATGTATTAATTTTTCAAGCAGTGGCTAAAATATTGGTAACTTACTATCTAATGAAGATATAACATTTAATCCTATGTACACATCAAACCAAATAATAGTTACACATAAATTAAGGGATTATTAACAGGGAAGATATTGCATGATGATTACTCTTCCTTCAAAACTCATCCAAAATTGTATAACATTCACTGCCATGACTTCCACCTTGATACCTTTGTGATGGTGGGACAAACACAGTCAGCAGCAGCTAACTCTAGTAAATGGTAGTTACAGTTAATCACATTTCCAAAAATGTACATACCCATAATGAATGATAAAATATCATGTTAATTAACAAGCAGAGGCTATAAACCAATTTTTCCACTTATGACAGTGTACAAGAAAATAATGAATAGAAAATATGATGCGAGGTAAAGGTGGCTACTTATCGCCCCCATTTTTATCCTTTTGTATGGTATATTGAATAATGAAAACATAACATGTACAACCAGCTCTGGACATTATTATATGACATGGTATATGCTTTGCAGATTTGCTTCAGAAATACTGTGAATTCCTAAAATGTGTTGCTAAAACTTTTTAAAATGTGACAAATACAGTACAGATTAAAAAGACAAATATTAAATAAAGGGTTAGTAAAATACTGACCAAAGTATAAAAAGAAAGAAATATTGATATTCACTTACATATACTGTACTGTACTGTACGTTTAAGAAATCTGATAAACTGATCTCCAAAGTCGATAAGAAAAAAAAAAAATAAACAGCCATAAACTCCAAATTGATGTTCTGCATACATTCCTAAGCAGGTAATTAATAAATACTGTAAAAAAAAAAAAAAAAAAAAAAAAAGCGCCAGCCTGGGAGACTATGTAGGTACATTCCTAAGCAATTGCTTACTACTTATTGTTTTCTTCATACCAATTTCTCCAAAGTTATGCTCAATGGAGCACTGTTCTTGAATAGTGCCTACAAAATGTTTAAATAAATCTCATATGACCCATTATCTTTTCACTCTTATCTATCACAGTTAACACTTGTTATGGGCACATTTACACTTAGAATTAAAATTAAAATTTCGAGAAATGATTAAATGATTGCGAATAACATTTTAAAGGTTATTCTCGATGAAGAGCTGATTAACTTAACTCAGTTTACAAACTATAATTAACCGGTACTAGACTTGTTCTATATACTGAATATGTGATGTGCAATGTGCCCAAAGTACCATCTCCCCCCCCCCCACCATGCTGTGTAATGAACCCAGGTTCTATGCCGTTCTCATCCATGCTTCATACCTCGACCCCAGATTCTATACCACTTTCAAACATGCTGCATACATCAGCCCCAGATTCTATACCACTATCGACCATCGTGCTTACATCAATCACAGGTTCTATGCCACTCTCGACCATGCTGTGTACCCACCTGGTATCTTCTTCCACGATAATATTTTCATGGGGTCACACTCTGTCTGCTCTACCAACACAAGTGATCAAGTTTGTCACAACAGTAATTGAAGGTTACAAAAACCCACATTAAGTGAATGTGAAAATATGGGATATGGACAGGAGAGCTGAAGTTATAAGTCCTAATACTAAAAATATGTAACAAAAACTTGATTTATGTAAACATGTAATAAAAAATTATAGAAGAGAGGAAGATGAAGTGACAATGCACCTTGACAAACATTCCATCGCCAATACTTGATCTGTCACCTCGTTCTTCATGCATCTATCCATATTATATTGCTACCAAGCCAAATAATCTATTATCACATTTAATATTGATTTCTGTATTATTTACTGTTAAATAAAAAGTATTTGGGCTCTTTTTTTTTATCATGAGTAAATTGTATGGATGGAATACCTTTCAGATAGGAAATCTATACAGTATTTTCTTACTATCTACTATCCCAGTAGCATGTGTCTTATCTAAGGTTGGATATCATTTGTATGAGAATGGGAAGGATAAGAAAAACAGAGAAGTCATGGATAAATTATATGCCTAGCCCTGCTTCTCAGGCCTCACTACTGTAGCAAAATATTAGCATTTTTACAAAACAAAATAATTTACATTACAAATTTACTTGAAGTATGTACACAATCTTGAGATCCTCTGTATACAACAGTTTACATTTATTACATAACTGAAAATTTTGAAGTCTTAAGTCAACCCTTTAGGAAATTTATGCTAAGAAACCTTCATAAGAAATCTAACTTGTGCCACTGCATGGCTATTATTGACATAAAACTATCCAACATAAGAGAAAAATTACATAAAGATATAGAATGAGGGAGAACGTATGAAAATTTGAGTTTAGTTGCCAAGACTCAAAATTCGAAGGTATGCAAGTGATAAGAGCCGGCACACACACGTATGGCCAGACAGGGTGTGGATGGCACCAGGCATCACAACATGCAACATGCATTATTAACCCACTTGATAGTCACCACTTGATCCTCTCACCATCAAATCTGATGCAGCTTACACTTTTGTCAATTTTCATATAATTCATATACTGTTATTTTTATATGTATTTTTATATATATATAAACATACAGTATATAAATATATATGCATAATTCTGCTCTGTACGCTTAATTTTAAATTTCACAGATGTTATAAACTAAGTTTTATGTACAATTTACACTGAGAGAATGTATCCTCTCAAATAATATGTATATATGTACATTACCTTGAGAGACAAGGTTGCTTAAATTAAAAAACAAAAAAAATGTTTATTGTCAACATTAATCTAGTTTTATGAGCCAATTTAAATTAAAATGTATTTTCACAAATAAATTTGCAACATAAAAACATCCTATTTAATGAAATAATTTAGGAGAAACTATTTATTCAGCCATTTATTATAGTAGAGTACACTAGTATGATTGTTTAGCGACGTGACTGGTATTCCGTGATTAATCTGAATCGTTAAGTTTAATACACACACCACTCATTATTACATCAAGCTTCCTCAACTTCCTTCAAGACTAAATAGCATCCACAGCACAACAGTATGAACAAGAACGACTGGAAATAATAATGGACAAGAGAGTATGGCAATCTTGACAAAAATAAACGAAGGTCACATTTCCATTCCATCAGTACCTGGGTAGTGTATTTCACGAGGTTCACCGAGCACCATCTTTCCACCCAAACCACCAACACAAAAACCATGGATGGGGATTGGAATTTAAACTGCTTATTATCCACATCGAGTCCATTTGCTTATTAATTTTTTTATATATATACACATTTTACACAAACACAGCTTCTTGTTTATAGTGTTTGGTATCTAAACTGCATAAATAGTGAATATAGTTACTTTCATTGCTAGGAAAACAAAATATATAATAATGAATAATAAATAAAAATAAATAAATAAATAATAATAATAATAATAATAATAATAAGAATAATAATACACAGAGTAATCCCACTAATGTGACTGCATCAACGGGACTACCCACCGCATAGGTTCGAATCCTCATCACGGCTATTATGTATTTTCTCAATACGTAATAATAATAATAATGATTTGTACTTCAATTGCATGTGCAGATGTTGAAGAAAGCACAACACTACATAACATTCATGTACCTGTATATTTCATCACATCCATGTACCTCTCATAATTTATCTCCTCTTTATAAACCTTTATTTTATTTTGCTCCCTCTACTAAGGTAATGTTTTGGTTGCTACAATAGGTGAACACATGGCTCTTTTGATCACATACTATTGCTGACTTACCAGCTGTTTAACCCTGGACATTAGAAAAGCCAACTTGGTGGTCATAAAAATTGCTTCTACATTAAAGAGGCAATTTACCATATTTGTTTAGAGGCATCTATCACATTTCAGAAAAGACAGGATTCCATGGGGGTCTTATCACCGTTTACTGTAGGGATGCTTGTGCTAGATCTTGACAACTGGGGAATAGGGTCTCACTCATACCACTACAACGAACCTAATTCAGATACAGTAGACTAACTGAACTAAACCTGTATAGTATACTGTATAATAAATTGATTGGTAATGTATGAAAAATCCACATTGTGTTTGGTAAAATTAACTTATGTATAAAGTAATGAAATACAGTATGCTTCAGTCATCTAACACACACAAAATATAAACATTAAAATTCAGGAATAAAACTAACCTGCTTGTTTTAATTAAACTTTTGATCCATTTCTTGCTGCAGATCAATTTGGAGTGACACTGTATTGCTTGCATCAAATGGGTAGCATTCTGATCCATACACAGCACTACATGTCAAACACACTTTACATGCAATAGCTGTCTATATTTCTCATTGGTGAGTTTTAACTGATCGCTTGGGAAATATATATGGTTAGAATTATAGATGATATTATTGATAGATAATGAGTGGTTTGATTACTTAATGATGTCCATAACAGTAAAAATAAGTGTGTAAGGTAAGTTCATATTAAAACACATTGAATGTAACTAAAAAATGCATGCTTTCATGCTTTTAGCAGTCACTCACAAATCAATTGCCTCAAATTTCTCTATCTTGTATGCGACCTATTTGTTGGGCCATATTCAAAACATTGTTTACTGTAACAAATGTTGTCTATTTATAGGAGATTACATGTAGGACAGTGTCCATGCAATACAATGAATACATCATGTAGGACGGAGCATTTCCCTGGCCCAATGATTACCATCATGCAGGACGGAGCATTCCCCTGGCCCAATGATTATCATCGTGCAGAACAGAGCATTCCCCTGGCACATTCAACATCATAACATTATTCACCAATATGAACATTTAAGTTGCCATGGACTGCCACCTAATCATTATATAATTACCTTCATTCATCTTTTGCCATTACCATTCTTCCTCTTTGTGCTTATGCTGCATAACTGCAACCATTTCTTGGTGAAAATAGTTATACATTTTTCAAAAGATGGTAAAGGTCTTCAAAAATGTTGCAACCTAGTATTCACTCATCTGCCAATTGATCTTAAGGATAATTTTTGTATCATTTTAATCTTATTGAGATCTTTTTCACTCCCATTCTCATAAAATACTGTATTATTACAAATATTGAAGGCATGTTTACATATTTAAATTCTTTATGTTCAAAAGAATATTATAATGGATATGTGATAAATATTTTTCAATAAAAACTGAAAATTATTTCATATCTTCTTGTTAAAATGTCCGAATATAAATTGTTAGCTTTGACTTGCCCCTTCATATTATCCAACATATTAGAAAATGATTTTCTAAATAACAGCATATCGGCTAACAAATTATGTAAAAAATACGAAATAAAAAATGTTAATCATTCCTATTAATATCATTGTTCAAAAGGTTCAGAATTTCCTACATTTAACACGAAGCATTTTAATTTTTCTATAATAAAAGTCATTAATTTTACTACCCACCCTCTAATTTGAGAAGCTATGTATGACCATTTTCTCAACTCTAAACCTGAAACAGAGCTGCATAAACTACACAAATATAACCTAACCTTTCTATAGGAAACTCCTCACTGACTACCACCAAGAGTGATGAAGGCTAATGTAACTTTACCTAATGTAATGAGGTCTCACCTCTTTTGACTTTGCTCATTAGGAACAACAGGATACTAAACATTCTACAGTCTGTTTACTTAACGTCCGAGATATTTCATACTTTGTATTTTAAAATAAATAATCTGATAAAATATTATTGTGTAATTAGAAGATCCTCACATGAAGTGGAAATCGGTAGAATTAGTATGAAAGACTGTCCGATATATAATAAATTTCAGTGTTTATATTTTGATTTTTTAATGTTCAACACTGCTGATCTATAAAAAATTGATTTTTTTTTTTTTCAAATATAAAATAAGTGATTAAACAGTGGAATAACACTACAAAAATCTTAGCCATTTAGACCATTTGCCTGCTTTTCTGCTTATCTTGAATACATTACAGATTTGAAGTTATTTTTAGAGGTGACAATGACAAGTGAAACAAGCAGGGTGGAGCACAACTGACTCTGCACACTTCCACCCTCACAAAGAAGCCGTACATCATAACAATGAGGCTCTCACAAATACCTTTGGACCTTATGGAAAATTATTCAGTATAAACAATCATTTAACCAGTGTACAATACTTTTAAAATTGGACTTTGAATAGAAATAATATAAAAATATTTAACAAAAGTCATCTAGAATAAGATATAATCAGGGTATTGTCCCAAGAACACGCAGCTGCTGCATAACTAGCAGACTGGAGAGAGCCAGAAAAGCAAACAGCCTTGCCTTGGACTGATGTGTTTCATCAGACTAGCTGCTGTGGTACGTCATGAACCAACTAGTGAAGCATCTTATGAATTTTCAGAATTTTTCCTAAACGCTGCTTCGCTGTAGCCATGCCCTTTCTGGGTTTGTTCGAAACTGAAATGAAAGCATTGGTCATTTACAACTAATGTACTGTTTTACTCCTATGAAAGATATCTATAAATAAGAATTTTAAACAATATGAAGAATTGTTTGTAAATGGATCTAATACTGAAACTTCCACAAGTAATAAACTAATTAGCTAATATCAACCATGGAAACAATTACAATTTCCTTGCAATGCTGCTTTTCCTCCTCCTCATTTCAGGTATTACACAAAAATACAAGTCACAGCTTTGCATCATCTTTTGCAGATAACACAAAAATCAGTATGGACATTACTTCTGTAGAAGACATTGAAAAACTACAAGATGATATTAATAGAGTTTTCAATTGGGGCAACAGAAAATAACACGATGTTTAATAGTGATAAGTTCCAGGTACAGTACATAGGTACGGTAAAAATGAAGACCTTAAACAAAATACAAGGTACAATCAAATCTGCCCATAGGAGGAAAGCAACATGTAAAGGCTCTGGGAATAATGATGTTGATGACCTAATGTTTAGGGAGCATAACCAAACAAATTATCAACTAGAAAAATGATAGGATGGCATATGAGAACCTAAAAAATCCAGACATCCCATCACAGTGCTCATACCATTCAAATCACTTTTGCTGCCCTGCCTTGAGTACTGCTCAATACTCACTTACCCCTTCAAAGCAGGAAAGAGTGCTGAAATGGAGGGAATATAGTGAGCACACACAACACACAGACAGACATAACAAAGCACCTAAACTATTTGGAATCTCAAAGCTGTCAAAATGTACTCTAGAAAGGAAATGAGAGAGGGGTTTCAAATATCATATACAGTACATTAAACTACTGGAGGGCCAGGTCCCAAATTTGCATAGTAAAATAACATACTGGAGTGAACAATATGGAAGGAAATGCCAAACAGAGCCAGTGAAGAGTAGATGTGCCATAGGCACAATCAGAGAATGCTATACGAACATCAGAGGTCCACAGCTGTTCAATATCCTACTGGGAAGTATTAGAAATATTACCAGAACTAAAGTGGAATTCTTAAAGAAAACATGTGGACAATTTTCTGCAAGAAGTGCCAGACCAACCTGGATGTAGTGGATTTGTGGGTCACTCCAAGCAACAGCTTGTTGGACCAAGCTCACAAGTCAAGTGTGGCCATGGGCTGGGATTAGGGAGTAAAACTACTCCCAGAACTTACTAGCTTCACTGACCATATATTACCACTTTTATTAACCTAACTAATGCTTTCACATTTTTCTTATTTAAGCCTTACAATAATCTGTTCTCTCCCCTCTCCCTTTTAAGTTTGATTTACTTTCTCAGAATATCCTCAAACATTTCATACCTTGTTTCTCAAAGCAAATACGAACAGCTTCACATCAAGTTAGAGAAGCAACACTAGAACATAGAATTCGTCAGTATATATTTAAAATGCTCTTGAATGTCTTCCATATTTGAACCAATCTGAAATATCCAAGATGAATCTACACAAGACCAACCTCCCTACAAGATGGTAAAGTTCCTAGGAAATTATTCATTAAATATAGAAAGATACTTATTGTATATATAAAGGCTGTATACTTATGGAATTCTACTCCAGTGCTGCAACCTAAATTATATGCTGGGTTAATTATGGGTGTTTTCCTTTCTTGTGTCCCAAAGCATACACGTGTTTACCTATTTGTGCTTTTATCCCGGAAAAATCCTTCAGGATTTGATAGTCATAAACCCACTCAAAAGATGCAAGTGAATAGTATTACGCAACAACAGAATGGTTCAAATAAGTAACGGTTAAACATCTTAGAATTTTTATATCCTCTGCCTTTCAAGACGCAACTGAAAAACTGATTAGCAATTAACATGGTGTAATTTCATACTCACGTTTACTCATTCCCTTCAGACCAGCAACCCCTGAGGAGGTGCTTGGTTGAGACTCTAAGCTCCGCTGCTTTTTCCGGTGATATGCTCTCTTGGCAGCCTGTTTAAAAATTTAAATATATTACAAGAAAATTTATATATTTTCATATTTCTCTTAACTTAAATGGTATACTTAGCATGACAATCAATAAGACTTAAGTCTGTTTTTGGGTGCAAAGTAGAATTATTAGCCTACTTTTTACAATCTTGAATCTGATCATTTACATGCTATTTTTATGTACATTTAATATTTCTCAAATGTTTTGCCTGTGATACACTATTATTTTCACATATGAACGTGTCTAACAGTTGTTTCTAATGCCCATGTACACTGTGTGTTATATTATTTCCTCGCTCAAGGCTGTGATGTGGAGTAAAGATAAACACTTCTCTTTCATTTATAATTGTAATGCTTTCTGTAGTTTGTGTGTGTACTTTAATGCAAATTAATAACTGTAATGCACTACACAAATGCCCATGTCCTTGAAATATGCTCAAAGGAGTCAAGAATGTTGTTGGAAACTAAAAAGAAAATAACTGCAGAAGCTCAAACTGAGACAGAACAGTTAACCCTGGTAAACCAGTTGGTTAACACCTTGAATGAGGTGCTCACCAACTGGTTAACCAAAGGAATGAGAAACACTCACATACCATATTATAAATAATATGCAAATATACAATGAAACAACTTAAAAAACAAACAAATCTTAAATTTTGGTCCATGCCTGTCTTAAACTAACATAGAGGCTAGTCAGCAAGTGTGAGGAGACTCGTGGCAAGAACCCTTATTTTAACACCGATGCTGCTACCTAATGGCAGTCCAGAGTAGTGGCCTGGTGGCTAGCTGGGTATTACCGAGAGATTATTTTGGCAGTCCCAATGATGTCATATAGGGTTCAGAAGGCCTCTTCAAGTGCATTTGAATGAACCTTCACAGTCATTCCAGCCTGGATCAAATATATTTGATCCAGGCTGGAATGGATCCACCCACCCACACGGGTTAAGGGAGCAACTACTGCAAAGTCGCCCTAGATGAAAGATTACTGGCATGACAAAACTGTTTGAAGTGAATGTAAACACAAGTAGTTACAGCAGTGGTGAGAGAAGGAAATTCTGGATGTAAAATTAGCAAAAAATCAGTACTTTGCATGGTGGTACATACAGTATTTTAAGTGCCACCATGAAAGGTTTCAACTATGCAAAACTTTGTACCCTATTTTCTTTTTATGATAATTTACAAGGCATCTAAATCATATTACAGAACAGTATGTGTTTCCACAGAAACCAATACAACATCAAAATAGTGTTTCCAGCCCAAGACTTACTGGTAAGTTTTGTCTTCTTGCTGCAGCTTGCTCCAGTCCCTTTTCTACTGCCTGTCTTCGAACTCCTTGCCTCATGGGACGCTCAGGCCGTGGACCTTGAACCCGCACTCGGGCTTTGGGATTCCAAGCTTCGTCTTCTTTTTTTTTTCCCCGAGGTTTGAATACAGGAAAGTCTTCATCATCAGATATATCAAGGGTTGGATACACTGTAAAAAAAAAAATGCAGGAAAGTCCTCGGCAGATACATACATACATACATACACACACACACACACACACACAATTATATATCTATATATCTATATATCTATATATATATCTATATATATCTATATATATATATATCTATATATATATATCTATATATATATATATCTATATATATATATATCTATATCTATATATATCTATATCTATATATATCTATATATATATATATATATATATATATATATATATATATATATATATATATATATATATATATATATATATATATATATATATATATATATATATATATAAATAAATAAATAATACACACACACACACACAATATATATATATATATATATATATATATATATATATATATATATATATATATATATATATATATATATATATATAGATATATATATATATATATATATATATATATATATATATATATATATATATATATATATATATATATATATATATATATATATATATATATATATATATATATATATATATATATATATATATATATATATATATATATATATATATATATATATATATATATATATATATATATATATATATATATATATATATATATATATATATATATATATATATATATATATATATATATATATATATATATATATATAGTGGGATGTTATCTTGAATACACTTCAAAAGCAAGTTCAATCATTTTCTTTCTTTCTGAAAAACTGTTTTCTCCAGGTAATCTTTTAGAAGGGATGGCCATGAGGAAGACTAAACATATTTTTGGTTAGAGTAAGAAAAGATTGAAATCAAGGGAAAAGGCAGTTGGCTCTATGTCAACAAACCATGCACTAATCTCCATCACACCACCAGATGGCAGCTCTACTGACCCAAGTGATCAACTTGCCTGTTTGCCTTACATATGTTCTGTTCTCCCAAAACCTACGACCCTTACAGTAAAGGAAGGCAAGGAAAGAGGCACAGGGAGCTACTAAAACCAGTGAATAAAATGCATTTAATTACATTCAATGCTTGATTTCTGAGCTGGCTCTCATTCGCTCCACAGGGCATTCTCCTAATGCTTCCTAAGAGGAATTTGTCTTTGGGATAAAAGGAATAGATTATAAAGGAACACAGAGGAAGGGCTGACCCATGGCGTGAGGTTGAAAACACAGGGTTTGGGGAAGGACGAACTCGGTGACTGGACAGGTGTCCAAGCGTGCCACAGGCCCAGCAAGGATAAGGAGCATCCAACACTGCTAGAAACCTTAAGTCCGAATATTAGCTGTAGATATTAAGAGAGGAGGAGGTACAATAATAGCAGCATACTTGCTGCTATCACATACTCATATTATGTGAACACTGAGGCACATTAGTCTAGCAGAATTGAGCCAACAAACAAATAACCCGACTTTTGAACAAGGCAACAAGCAAACTGGATTGATGGAAAGAGCAACAGCTTGGGAAATAGTAATTAAACACAAATAACATGGCAACACAGCAACATGACACAATGTATGATGCACCCCCCTAGCAAACAGACCATTTGTCTATCACAATAAGTTTGTAAAAAGACTGCCAAATCCAAAAGAAATGAACATCCACCTCCCATTCCATCGATCAGTATAGAGGACTAAATCTGGAGAATACAGAAATGAAACCACCCACACGGGTTAAGGGAGCAACTAAAGCCCTCTGTTAAGGTAGTAGACCACCATTGTGCAATCCAAGTGAATCCAAATTGTAGTCCTGTGGAAGAGGAATGCTCTGAAGCACACTACAAACGGCCACAAATTCACTTCCTTCAATACAGTCAACTGTGGCACTAGTTAAGGGATACCATTCAAAACCAGCCCAGCATTATTAGGTAGGAACTCCTCTGAGTTATGGATTTATATTAATTACATTTATATGGAGTTAATTCATGGATCACTATTCTTAAAATTTAATTATATAATAGTGTAAGTCAGGTAACAGACTGCCTTGTGGGGGTCACTTTATTGCACTGATAATTTGGACACAAAGATTAGCTTCTAGATAACATTAAAAATATTTATTGTTTAGTTGCACATTTACAAATATGTAATTATCCAAAGAAGGCACCAAGCCTGGAAGACTACTGTATTTAGCTTGCACATTGATAGAAACTGAAATATACTTGATAACATTCCAAGAGCAAAGTAGCTATATGTATTGGCCTGCTTGCTGATATTTACAACTACAAGCATTATTATTATTATTATTATTATTATTATTATAAGACAGAACTGGAGAAAAAATAACAGGCATGCCTCGGTAGATGAACTCCAGGTGAAATTAACGATGAGAACATTATTATTAGGTGGAAGAACACAAACAAAATTTAGCAAAATATTAAGTGAAGCTTAACAAATTATGAATTAAAGTAAGAGAAAGAAGTGACAAGACGCTTACCCTAAAAGACTGCAACAAGTCCTAGAGAATGTATACACACATCAAGCGTAACTTCATAAAGCACAAGCGAATCGTGTTTATGTGCAGAAATATAATAGAGGAAGATGATAACCCTTTTTGATCCCTTAAAGGTGTTTTCAAAACAAGCTCAACTTTACTAAAGAAAACTTAACATAACACTCTACTTACCATAGTCTTCATCTTGATGCACTTTACTCATGTTCTCATCATCATCATATCGCCGTCTAGGTTTGGGCTGGCGAGAATTGGCTGAACTTAACTTTCTGGAAGGCGTGCGTCCACTCGGAACAACACGGCTCATACTCAGCATCCCTGCAATGGCTTCTCTCGTAGAGGGTGATGCTCGACCACTCTCACTACTATTGAGAAAGGGAAAATTACAGTGAAACATTTTTTTAAACATACTGTATACCTGTATGTCTGACAATTTGTTCTTTCTATAAACTACTGTTCCCTGACAGGGTAGCCACATGCAAGCTTCTCTTTAAATACGTACTTCAAAAGGCTTCAATGTTAGAACTTAATAAAGCACTTGAAATATGGGTACATAATTCAACAATCTGGGTTGACTATCAAAGCAACAGGCAAGTCACATTTTTGTGCGTTGTGCTAAAGCACAAAAAATGTTTGAGAAGAGTGAGAACTGTCTTGTGTAGAAGAGTAGAAGGTAGCATTAGAAGCGAGGCATCATCCCTGAATGTTTATAATCCTATTTTCATACAGTACTATCCAGATTTATCAGTTGTGCTTCCCTATTCAAAACTGTTTAGTGTGGTTGATAATTTTGATCAGGCAAAAAAAAAGTAAGTGCTTTGTCAAATGCTACCATCATGTGAAGCAGCTGCATTATCTTAAGAGTTATCATACAGGACAACTCCTTACAAAAAGTGTTACTAGAGGTAGAAATGTATCAAAGACGTTTATCAAGCGTTGGAGCACTCATTGTGTTTTTTAATATCAAATTCCTTTTTAACAAATTTGTGATGTGATTGTATCATGTATGGTTACTCTGCCTCATACTTCTGAAGTTTTGTCTTCATAATTTTCAGTCAAGCTGAGCTACCTGCAAACTAATCATAAACCTCATGTTTTCTCACACCAGACTTGTGCAGACAATTCATTGCCATTGACGATTCATTACTAGGGCATACATTGCACTACTGTGCCCCTTTATCTGCTCCATTTTCACCATCTTTACTCTGCTGTTTCAATAAATATTTTCATACTCAAATTTTTTACCTTACATATAATGTAGTATACATTTTTATCTTGCCCTGCCTATCCCTTCTACTTCCTCTGTGTTCTTATTCATGGCAGCCCTCATTTCTTTCTCACATTCTTGAGTGCAATAACAACATCTGTACTTTTAAGAAGCAAAATCATCATGTACAATTCTTAAACAAATGTTACAGATGCTCCTTTAAAAACCTTTTGATAACTTTTAAGTCAAGTGAAATTATATAATGGAAATGTAACAATTCCATTAAAAGTGGGGAATTCCAGGGGGGCCAAAGTATAAACATTTAAGATGGAAATACTTTTAGGTAACATGTCACTAGTGTGCTCTCAACCACAGCCAGGCAATTATACTTAAAGTAATGTGTTAAGTTTTTAGGAGTAGAGATAATGACAGTATAAAACACTTACTCCAAGTCATCCATACGTGCAGGAGAATCCTCATTGAAGTCTGGAGCATACGCAGATGCTCTGAGAAGTTCATCAATACCGTTGTGAGCCGTGTTGTGTGATGGAGCTACTTCCACTTCTTCTGCCACATCCACCGTCTCGCCACATACTACATCTGCCGCAGTCACTAATAAAGATAAAGTACAGTGCTTTAAAACAATACTGTTTAATAATGTATCACACTATTTCTTCTAAAAAATTTTTTATTGGTGCTAGTATCCTTTCATAATAAATGTAATAAGTAATACATGCACTAATTTTTACAAGTTTTAATTATACAGTACTTAATTACACAGTTATAGCCTCAAGATATATTCGGTATTGAAGTCTCGACTTTGAGGTCATAAAAGTCACAGTTTGAATGACTATTTAATTAGTAACAGGAACAAAAGGCCAAGCAATGAATGTAATGAAATGCCCTTTGTCGGGTGGCAAGTGAACTGGCGCTGGTACCATAAATGCTTATACGATGCTTTTCAGAAACACTATTGTGAGGAAATGCTTACTGATTGTGATTTTTCTTTGTGTGCCAGTATGGTCTGACCCTCATTACTCGAGTTTCACTGGCCTGTCTTTCAATATTTGCAAGTTGTGCGGTAAGAGTTATACGCAAGACAAAGGTAAGAGGAACTTCCTTACCATAGGTACCATAGGAACTTCCTTACCATAGGTAAGGAAGTTTCTAATAACTTGGCCTTATAGGTAATAAGGCCAAGTTATTAGGAAATCTATGATCATGGCTTGGAAAGAAAGTTGCTGGCAGAAGTATATGCCATTGGTACTAATGCTTTTTTACATAAAAAAGCAAAGGAATCATATCATATAGTTGTAAATAAAATGGAGAATAGTGGTAGAAAGAGAAGTGATAATACATTGAAACCTTCTAAGCATGAAGATTTAGATGCTGCTCTTTATCAATGATTTACACAGCATTGCAGCCTGAAGCCAACTGCTGGTGGTGGACAGGTGGTCTGAAGCCAAGAGAATGATGTAAACCAAGAGCATCAAGGTCTTCAAAGCCAGTTCAGGAGTGACTATATAAGTTTAACACATGGCATAACAATATAGCTGCATTTTTGCTGCCCCCCCCCCTCCCCTGTGTTTTCAAGTAATACAAAAATTTAACAAATTTATAGTTTTTTTGCATAATTATTTACACAAAATCATTATTTATAGTGTAAATATGCATAAACATGTATTATTTGTTATAAGAAAGATGAGAATGTGATAAAAAAAAAGAGCAAAAAAAAAAAAAAAATTGGTAAATTTGCCCTCTGTACTATTACCTGTTCTTGAAGTACCCTTAATCATCAACCTCCCATATAAGGTACATGGCCATTAAAATTCTCTCTCTCTGTCTGAAGCCTGGTACTCCCCCCACCCCCCCCCCCAAAAAAAAAAGATTCCCATAATCATTACATTCTGACAACTGTATGACACTCACAACTAAGCTTGATCTTCAAAGGCTCTTGGGGTTGGATACGAGCTCCTTTCCGACGTGGATTTTCGTCTATCATGAGACCAGAAGGCTCACGCTCATCACTGTCACCATCTTCGTGGAAGTCGTATACAGATTCATTGTGTGTCTTTATTTCAGCATTATCAGCTCTGTAGAGATACAAAAACTTGTGTTAAAAAGAATGTAACATGTGGTAACACCCATCACATTTTATGATGGAAATTTCCAGAATAATTAAATTAGTCTCAAAGCATTGACAAGACTAGACAAGACTATGTGGACACCACAGCAAAAACTATTCCACCAACCCTACCTAACCAAACATATACTCCTGATAGCTGAAATTAGGAATCTAAAATGTTCTACAATGAGTCACAGAAATAATGGTATGCCAATACCATTATAAGATTCAAAACTAAATGATAATGAATATAAGGAAGACGGAACACCAAGAACTTGGTCTTCGACCTGTAACTAGTGTTACATAATTACACACCCACAACTAAAATGTTAAAGATATCTAAAAGCCCCAGGCACCAACAACTAAAAGGGTGGGAACCAAATTGCCAGATCTCGCTCCCCATAAACACTGATAATTAAGCACATTTGAAAGAAGGCAGAAAGCTCAAACCCACTAAGCACAGCTAAGTGAATACAGTTAGGCAAGTGCACATACTGTATATGTAATACAAAGCTAATAGCTTTCCTACAGCAAATCCAACAAGAGCAGCCCAAAGAGGAAGACAGCAAGAGCTGATAGAATACATAATCTAGAAATGTTTAGTCTAGAAACATCATGTTCAGGGAGGAAATCGATGATAAAGAGTTCAGTAATCCATGCTCAACAAGCACTAAAGGAAACAAAGGACTGGAATAAAAAGGTATAGGGAGTAAAGCACCGTGGTGAACACAGTCAACCAGTCAAACTAGGAGAAAATTAATTGTACAGTCCTAAGTTAACAGGCTAAAGAAAGATAGAAATGTCCTCATGGAGAATGATAAGAAACTGAAAACTCAGCAAGAGGTTCCATAAGGTTTAAAAAGCAAACCAGAGCGAAGTTCAAACTAAGTTAAGGGTCCCAGTAGTACAGTCGGGTTCATTATCACCGCACAATCAAGAATTCTGGGTTCGAATCCCGGGTGGGACAGAAATGGTTGGGCACATTTGCCTTCACTTAATGCCTCTGTTCACTTAGCAGTGAGTAGGTGCTCAGGAGTTAGTCAGCTTCTTGTGGGGTTGCATCCTGATCTGGGGTCAGTAATTTGGCCTTTGGGGAGGGGGGGGGGGTAAGACTTGATAAAAAGCCAAAAACGTGAATGAATACACTCTGGCTTCCTGTCCCCCGACACAATGAATTATGAATTTTTATAAACACAGGCAACAAAAGTAGAATAGAAATGATATTGAGGAGCATCATGCTGCACGAGGAAGAGATAAGGAGGCATTGATGTAATTAGATACCCAGTACTGTATATCAAAAGTAAAACAAGATATCACAATGACTACTCTAAGTGGCTGGAAGTACTATGTAAACCATAACTGGAGGTCACTATCACACTTGAAATGAGAGCTCTCACATATCTGAGAAATGCAAATATGGTACCAATACTTAAGAATAGGGATAGGTAAATCCTAAAATATAGACTGGTGACTTTAATATACATCCTATATATAGGCTTCACTAATGTAACAGATACACAGGGCTAGTGCTTATAAAGGGACAAAACAGATACAAGGAATTATGTATTACAATTTATGTTTATGAAGCATTAATTTAGCGAGAGGGCTAGTAATGTTGAATTTTCCTTCAGCCTGTTGGATGGTGTTGAATTGTTTGATGGCAGCAGACTCTATACATTGTCTCCTAATGTTGTTTTCATTTTGGTTGAGGAGATTAGCATCTTTGAAGTTCATGAGGTGTGGGTCCTGGTTCCTGTGTGTGACAAGCAGTGTTGGCATTATCAGCACAGTACGCAATATTTCCGTTCATAAATCCTTGCATCTAAGTACTGTAATGGGATGTTTCACAAACATATACTTTGTCACAACTATTAACAAAAACATTATCTACAATTTGAAGTCTACTCTCATCTTGGCATTTGTTTACATTATTGTCTGCACAAAATGCTCTTTGCTGTCAAATCCTAGAGAGTAACTGGAAAGAGGGTTGCGTAATATCTGGAAAGGATAAACTTTGTAATGCAGAGGCAGTATGAATTGAGAGTGGCTAAGTCATGTCTGATGAAGCTGATAGTTCTGTAACAGATGTGACTTACATTTTCCAGGATAGAGAAGCCATGAATAAACTGCATTTTCTTAAGACTGCCAAGATGCCTAAGACACCATTCCCAAGATACCATTATATAATACAGATAAGCAGGCAGGAATGCCTGGGAAAGTACTTTACTGGGTTACGGAGTATCTTATACAAAAAAACATTCCTAGTAAACGAGGAAATATAAGAGTGGACATAGGTAGCAAGCAAAGAATCCCAAACAGATTGGCCCTTGGATTCCTGTTGTTTCTGATCTATGTAAATAATCCAAGATAATAAGCTCTCACATGTCCATGTTTCCAGATACTATAATGCAAAACTAATAAGAAAGTTATTGGATAAAAACCCTCACTTGTGTATTTGTGAAATTTATGTAAGGAATTTACACCAAGTCTTTTACACTCTCACTGTGTTAGATAATGTTCCAGTGGTCTGTCGGGTATTTCTCCACAGTGCCGACATTTCCTCTCATCTTCTGGAACTTATAAGCCTATTATCCATGCACATGGGTAGCCAAGCCTGATGTGATGTAATTGTACTTCTGTTGTTCTACTGCTCCCTTTCATCAAAGTAAGTGGTTCGAAGTTGGTTGAAGTCTTGTACCAACCCGCAGATCCTGATGGTGCAACTGCTGTGTTGTGGTCACTGTACATCTTTTGCATTGCTCTGTTTCAAATTACTTTCTTAATCTGTGATAGACTCATGGTATATAAATGTCTATATTTCTTCGCTTAGTTGCAAGTTTTGCAGCTTCATCTGCAATGTCATTTCCTATTATTCCCAGAAAGATATTGGTTGAGGATTACAGACTGCTACTGCAAGACCTAAAGCAACTGCAAGATTTGCTTACAATTAAATTCTAGCAGTTATTTGTATCAAATTAACATGTCATCCAATCTCTGAATTTCTTAAAATCTTTTTTTCTTTTTAAAAACCTTCGCACTGCACATAATATACTAAGATGTTCAACCTGTTGTGCACATCACATCATATGATGTTTTAGGTACATTGCAAAATTTGAAACTACTGCCAGTACACTGAATTCCCAATCAGAAATTGAGGCTTTCAGTAAATATTTGCCATCTTGAAAAGTAACTAATGATTTTTGGGAATTTGAATGGTAATATCAGGGCATGGTTTTTAACAATATAGGAAGACAAAAATTTTGTTTTGAATATTATTTTTATGTGAGCATACAGAAAATGTCTTGTGTAACCCCTTGTACAACCCAAGAGTTAAACTATGATTGGCCTTCATTACAAAAGTCACCGATGTTCCTAATGAAACTGCAAACTAAGAGCTGTTATCCTGCATCAGTTGATCTTAAACCTCACCCTAGAACTCCATTATTTGATGAGCTTATTACTTGTTTCCATTAGGAATAAATTTTGTTTAGTATCAAGTTACTAAGTTACAATCATGATGGTACAGGACAAAAAGTGGGACCAATTGTGTGTTAAGAACCTTTATATGGCAGATTGAGTGTATTTTAAGTTTATCTACATATTGAGAGAACATGTTGCAAATGCTCCATTCTATTTGCCCTTTCATGACAAGACACTTAACATACACGAACACACTGAGGGCAGACTTTATTGGAGGACCAACTAGACATTATCTCCACCAACCACCCCTAAAGATCATAATTTGCTCTTCATATGCACATTTTCTCTCCAATTACATAGATATTTATATTTTTAATTTACGATGAAAAATAATGTTGAAATGTTCAAAACATTCGCATACTTAGCACCATCACGCATATTCTGTTATCGATACAACTATTTTTTTGACATTTATACTCTAGAACATTAAATTGCTAACATTTTGGCACTAAATATAGATATAACATAAAGGTAACTTAGAAAACACAAATATTATAAACACCTGAGGTATCACTGAGTGGGCGGGGCCTCCAGAGACTTGTAGACCTTAAACATTCCAAATGTTTAAATGGCAAGGGGGTAGACCATCAAAGCGTTTGAAATAAATAGACAGGAAATGCAATTATGCTAAAATTGAAGTAGTTAGGAATGGAAGCAGCAACAGCAGCTGATACGCATCAAGACAAACAGAAGCATTTATGCATTACATCACATGTCCCAATTCAGTTCTTACCTATCAGTGACTCCAAGGTATCGAGATCTAGCTCTTTATGCCTCGTCTCCTAGCCGCTTATGCCTGGCCTGATAATTACCTCTCAACATTAACATTTTCATCATATCTTTGTTTAAAGTTGTGGCTGGAATTGGCTTCAACAATCTTTTCCTTCAGTGCAATCCAATTGCTAACCACCTGCACAGGGAGAGAACTTTCAGACGTCTCTGACTCAATTGGGTGTTCACCTTCCGTCGATGTTCCCTTGCCCTACCTCTTTTTAATTTAAATAGACTTTCTTTGTCCACTTTGTTTATTTCTCTCAGGATCTTGTATTTAGTAATCATATCCCTCTGTTTCTTCTTCTCTCTCAGGTTGTGAAGGAGAGTTCCTTCAACTTGTCCCCATAGCATAGTCCTCTCAATTCTGGTACAACCTCTGCACCTTCTAGTTTCTATTTATGCTTCACAAGGTATGGGTTCCATGCCAGTGCTGCATATTCGTGTAATGGTCTCACATAGAACGCGAGAATGGACTTGAGAGCCCCTCTTGTTTAGATTCTTTGGTAATGTTCTTAGGTTTGCTAACTGCCTATAGGCTGCAGATCTTGTCCTTGTTCACACAAGCTTCTGGTGTTAGTGTTAGGATTATGTCTACCATCATGTTTTTTCTCTTAGTGTTTCTTGTAATTACCTTCCCCTTATGGTATAGTTAAATACAGTACAGGTTTCATATTTCCCTAACCTATTTTCATTATTTTACACTTATTTGGATTGAAATCCAGCAACGATTTATCTGCCCACTCGAGAAGTTTGTCAAGGTCTTTTTGTAGAAACCTACAGTCCAGTCTTCTTTAGTTCTTACTATCCTCATTAACTTTGCATCTTCTGCAAACAATGACATGTATGAGCTCACTACCTCTGAGATATCAGTTATATAAATTAAAAAGAGCAATGATCTTAGGACAGAGCCCAGTAGAACACCACTTTTCACTCCTCTCCAGGCCGACATATCCTCTCCAATTATGACCCCTTGTTTCTTGTCCATCACATACTCCTGTACCCAGTCCAGTGCCTTCCTGTTATCCTTGCTTCTCTCTCCATCTTGTATAATAGTCTTTTGTAAGGGACTGTATCAAAAGCTTTCTGACAGTTTAATGGCTTGCCAACATTACAAAAGGAAATTAGCTTAAAAGAAACTGTCAAAATTGCTTGAAATCATTAATAATAAAAACTATAAACTAACTGTTACGAACTCGAGTTTAACTCTGACTGTGTTCGCAGATGCTGGTGTTGTGGAGACATCGGAGTCAGTGCTGCCAGTGCGTCCAAATTTCATTCGCATGCCACCTGGATCTACCAACTTGTAGGGATTAATGCCAGGACTATCTGACCAGTCATACTCAGTTCTGGAATAAATTAAAGTACTGTATAACAAAAACATGAAGATTGGTACTAATGTATTGCAAAATTATGTTTAAGTATTATGTATTTAAATTAAATATTGCAAAATTAAATAACAAAATTACTAGGAATTGTTAGTAATAAATTACATCTTGACTAAAATTTACCTTATTCTTTAAATAATTCCACCCCACCCCCTCCCCGCAACAAAAATCTAATGCCTTATTAAAAGAGAGACAACGAGTCCTAAATATTTAAATTTAGGATGGCATTGTCATCCTCCCTAAACTACGTGTATTGAGTCTAGGACGAAAATAGCATTATCCCTCAGCGAAAATGTTAAGAAGCATCCGAATGGAACACTTCAGAATGTGTCCGAGAAGTTAGCTTTAAAAATTTTACAGACTTTAAATACAAACCCTTTGGCTTGATCAGGGATAAATTCCACATACTGTACTTACTTAACATTACTTGGATATTCATTCTTGAACTGAGGATACTCGGGGTCATGAGGTGGAGTTCCGCTCATTCCATAGTCAGAGGATGTAAAACTGAGACCGTATGGGTAGGTTGCTGTCTTAGGAAGAGTTAGTTTAAGTGTACGCTGTTGGTCATCTGTTATGTTAGTAATATCTCTACTTCCAATTTCCACCTGAAAGAACCAAAAATGTATATTTATTCCTCCTTAATATTCTTATCGAAATGAGCAGGCAAAATTTTATAAACATACTGATTCAGAAATTCATCAGGTTAAAATTTTTAACAGAATAGAAAATACAATACGTGTAAAAGCAATGATCTAAAAATTTTAAGAAATACAACAAAGACTATCTTTGGCTCCATGGATATTTATCTATACAGAAATACAGATCATCTATATTTTGTCTATACTGTATATAGATTAGTTTATGCATGATTTTCTGACAAACTTTTTGCCAGTCAATCTTAACTTACAAAGAAAGGATCTTACCTGAGGTGAGTTGACTTTGAGAACTTTGACCTTTCTATCAGGCAACCTTTCCTCCAGGACATTATTAAAGCTGGTCAGGTTAGTATAGTCAATGAAATCATCAGCTAGCACTTTCTTTTTTCTTCGTTTGGACTCGCGCTCAGGTTTAGGAGGGTTTAGAGCAATCACCTGTTTCTCAGCACACCGAATTTCTCTTTGTAGATCTTTGAATAGTTTTAATGGATGAATACCTGGAGGAACTGCCTCAAGTCCACCTCTACCATTCTGAAGAGTAGGGAGAAGTAAATGAGATATGAACTTCAACAAAATGAATACAGTACGGCTAAAACACTTGTATCATTAGTTTTTTCAAGGTTAACTAAAGACGCAAGTCACAACAGCTATATTATTTCATTATAGTGTATAAATATATATTACATCTAACACAGTAAATAAATATTGGGATAAATTCTATATAAAAAAACTGATAATGAGACATAAATGCAAGTCAGATAAATAATCACAAAATCCACAAGTGGTGGTAGCATATTTATTCCCTTTCTGTCTTGGACATTTTACTCAATGACATGAATATTCACACGCAAACACACACATGCAAATACACACAAGGTGAGAAGCACACACATATACACCAAAAATATAAGCACAAACAGAAAATTAAATAATTACATAATTTAATTGGAAGAGGAATAAAAATATAGATTACCTCGCCTCCCCATTGTCTGAGAGCCGCTGTGAGAGCACGAGCACCAGCTATCATAATTGGTGGGACTCTGGTTCCAGCTGCACCCATATCCCTCAATTCCATCATCAATCTGGAGCCAGCATACCAGCACACTGATTCATAGTGTGGAAATCTAAATTTCTCAGGGGCATTGATTTGTTTTTCTAATTCATATATCCTAGAATAGCAATACAAAATTAATATTAACATACCACAATATTAATTCACAATCCACTAAAAATTCTACATAAATACAATTTTTTCAAATATAAACTAAATGCTACTTCAAGTATCCATCAACACAGATCAGGAGGTGATACCACTGACTACAAACATGACTAATAAAGAGAAACAGGCAAACTGTAACTGATAATTTTTTGTCACAGTAATAAACAAAATTGTATTTCACATTTTTAGCTAAATCAAAGCTGTAATGGAAACTAGTTTGATCACCTTTTAAGGTGTGTTTATGTTGCTCCTGGCCATTCAGATCTACAAGTGATTCCTCCTCCAACATCCATTTGATATAAGACTCTAACCTAAAACACTAAACACAAAATGCACCATCAGTGGGAGAAAGAGCACCCCGTTCCATCTCCCACAGTACTGTTTCCATGGGCAAAGGCCCATTAATGTATAAACCTCATTTTTAAGCATGTATCGACATGAGTTTGTCAGCTTAATTTATCAATGAAACATTATGGAAATAATGTTTAGCTTTATGTAATATTAGCCGAAGAGATAATTCTAATATGAACCAATGATACACACAAAAAAACTACTTGATGTGAAACTTTAATGTTAGAACATGTACTTACTGAAGCTCAAGTTCAATGCTGTGAGAATGAAGGAAATTACCGCCAAACACCAGCGTATCTGTAGGTGTAAGCACTGCGTGAATCCAGCCAGTTGGGATGAACATCGTTTCACCAGCATGCACCACACATCGATAACAGGTATCAACCTAAAGAAACAAGTGAAACAGAGTAAGAAAGCACGTACAGGTACTGTATAATGAAATTTAATAAAATAAAAACAATTATCCTTGCATATGAATGAAGGTGCACGACTGCAGGTATATACCACATACATAAATAAATATATACCTGTTTGTGTGCATACAGTGGGATCCCCATTATCCAGATCCCCTTTTTCCAGATTCCCCAGTTATCTGGAAATATAAATACCCACTTCTCCATCCCCATTTACAGGATGAATGTCTGATTAATTGGGTGCACCTCCAATAACCTAAGAAGTCTCTATGTCACTAGGGAAAAAATACTACAGTATACTAATATTACCATATTAGCCTATCAAAGCTATTTCACCACAAATAAAGTCAAATATAGAAAATACAATGCACATTAATGCGAGCATCCATAAATAATGCCAAAAACTGACAATGTGTGTCACTACAATGACAGACTCCCATCAGTGGCATCCACCAACCCCCTGACAGACTTGCTGCTACCAGTTCACATCTATGTCTTGCCATATTATCCTTATGCACGTCTAAATAACATGGGAGACTGCTGCCAAAATACATTGCCTATTAATATGAGAAATATAAATAACATGTAATTTGTGTGTATATACAGTATGAGATTTTTTTATCCTATACTGTATACCCTTATGGAATGAGAAGCGACATTGGGGTGACTGGGAAGAAAGGCAGGGGATAAGGAGAGTTGAATGTTACTACCATCCAACATTCAATTACTAGTAGCTGCTCTACTGGATATTTCCATGTAATCAATCAATCCATCGATCAGCCGGCACACGCCTGCTGTCCACACCTGGCACCCCTGCTGCCGTCCACACCCGGCACCCCTGCTGCCATCCACACCCGGCACACATACCATATCATAATTCACACAAGTCCCTTTATTGACATATCCTTCATCTTAAAAATTTATGCACTAAATTCTCTCTACCTTTCCATTCAGTTTATAAAATCCCTCCTATGATCTTCTTAAAAGCAACATTATCCTATTATGTTTTGTATTTTGTACAAGATCAAAGAGCAAGCATCAATACTGGGTAGTGAGCACATCAACCTGCTCAGCCGACAACCCTCATAAGCAGGCAATGACTTACTTGATCACCAAAAAACATTTCAGACTGGTTGTTAGCTTTCATCCATCTCTGATACAGAGAGAGATTGGCAGGCGTTGGCTCGATTAAGTAAAAAACTTTTTCTCCCTGAAAAAAAAAAAACAGTAATCAAAATTGAAGAGTGGGAATGTTTTCTCAAAGTTAGACACATGACCACCATCTTTGAAGGAAAAAAGCAGATGGGTACTTATGACAGACTCTATAAGAGCCAAACAAGAAGGGCACTGGCTAAAAAAGAATGGTTGGAAATGGCTACAGGGCAACTATTTTTTAAACACATTCAGTTGTTTAAAGAGCAAATCTCATCGGGAAGAAAGTTGCAAAATTTTGGTGCTGCCACCCAGTGCTTATACATCAGTCAAGTTATTTATGCCCACCTCCAAGAGTTTATATCTAGCATGCTAATTACAACTCTTGATGTTTAAGTGCCTGTCAAATTTCTTCTTAAAGTTGTGGATGAAGATGACTGACTTTCATCTTTCTTTCAATACATTCCACTTTATTAAACACACATATTGGGAATGTGAATTTCCTTACACCTCTACTACTTGACTGCATATATAGCTTCTACCACTGTCCCCTTGTCCTACCTCCTCTTCATTTAAATAGACTGTCCTTGTCCATTTGTCTATTTACTTTAGCATCATGTTTGTAGTGATGATATTCCCCGTTTCTTCTAAGGTTGAAAGGTCGAGTTCCCTTAACCTCTCATCATTGCTGAGCCTTCTCAGTTCTGGCATTGGTCTAGTTGCAAGCCTCTGTACCCTCTAAAGTTTTCTTCTGTTCTTCACAAGATGCAAATTGAATAGGCAGTGCACATGAATTTAAAGCTACCTTCTTTAGAATTTTTAAGCTGTTCCTGTATTGACCAACTTCCCTCATGCTACTAACAATACCCTGCCCTCATGTGCTTCTGGTTTAAGTGTTGGGATTATATTCATTCCCAGGTATTTTTAATAATTTTCAGTACTTGACTTTCTCTTATGGTGCAAATTAATATAGATCTTCAATCTCTGTTTCCCCATCTTATTACTTTACAATTTGGACTGAATTATAGCTGCCATTTATCTACCCACTCTTAAAGTTTGTCAACATTTTTCTGCAGTACTATAGTGTCCCCTCAGCTCTTAATCTCCACATTAGCTTTGCATCATCTGCAAACATTAACACATGATATTGGGGAGTAGTGTGGCTGGTAGTGGCAGGTAATAGAGAAGTACTTGGCATTCCTAGTGTCACTAATAAGCACTTGCAAGTGACCTTTAAGGGCAATTCTTTCAATTGCAATTCAAGTAAAAGAATTGCAAGCTGGTTCATCAGTGGTGGCTTGAATTACATTCCTTTATTTCTCTCAACACCATTTGCCTAGCATGGCAAGAACCTGGCATGAGCTTGGCATAGGAATATATATATACATATATAGTCCTGGTGAACAATGATGGATCTTACTCATGATTATATAGGTTTCATCCTCTAACATTGGGTTATGAAAATTATAAAATAGTACACAGATAAATTAAAACAAATTTATATAGCTTACCCACAGTACATGATACCAAACAGATGTGCCCCCAAAGTCTATGTGAAAGTCTGTGTAAGAGTTCTCTACACCTATTAGAGCATATTTTGAGACATTAGGGCGAGAAAGAGGTGGACCAGGTGGAGGATCCGTTGGCCACGAGCTGGTCACCCAACACAATTTACGAACAATATATGGCGGCTCCACTAGTTGACTAAGACTGCAATAAAGAAAAAATTAAAGTCAATAAAATAGAGTAATCAACAAAATGAATAATACTTACTAAATATCAATTAAAAGCTCTCAGTTGTTAAGACAAGCCTGAAATTTTAAAGTGTTACAAGATATGTCTCCCGAAGGTGCTTCGTTTACAGAGATGTGATCAAACTTGAAAATGTTTAAGATATAAATATTGATTAATATATAGAAAAGCTTCTTTTCCTATCTAGCTACATAGATCTACTACCGAGTCATTCCTGCCTGAAATTAAGCAAAATAAAAAGTTATCACATTCATGGAAATCACATAAAATACTTGCAAAAAACAAGCTTTCAGGTGCACACAAAATTAACTTTTCTGAGCAGTACACAATGAATGTTGATCCTTAAATCAGGATCCTAATGACCTCTGGTTATATTCTGCTGCAGTCAGGACAGGTCAATACAATGCACACGAGAAGCAGGGAACTTCTCAGTCTCATCAGGTCATACTGGTACTAAGGAGACACTGGAGAATACTTAATCCAGCCCAGACTGAAGATATAAAAAGTGATTTACCCAACACTGAATGCAATGAAACGCCTCTTTCTGGTAGAGCACCAGTGGTTTCCTGAAGCCATCTTGTCGTGACTACTCCATTCTAATTGGTCACATTAGTCTTGAAAGTTTCATTTGGCCTACCAGGAACCAGAGCCAGAAACTGGCCTCCATCACAGAGGTGCAGCGAGCAAATAACAATTCACCACCCCACAGGAAAGCATCCTGAAAGTCAGTGAAGCTTTACAGACAGGTGTGGGGTTCACAGAAAGTGAAGCCTCGAAATAGCCAAATGACTCCACAAACAATTCACACAGAAACTTGTTAGTTCCCACCACAGCTAAAAGACTCGACTGTCTCTGCCATTGAAGAGGATGAGACTTCTAAGGATAAAGTAATTATGAAGATAAATTTCTAAGCCAATAAAGTGTAATTCCTATTATCCTGGTACCCAGTTTCCAAACTCTTGGATGCTCCAGACACACAAATTTCTGGTTTTTAGCCCCATTAACCAGAGCATGTCCTATTAATGGTTGTTAACCCCCCCCCCCCATTGCTATCTGTGAGCAGCGGTGGATACTAATTTGTACCAACACAATTTTAATTGGTTATCAACATATCACGAGTGTCCTTGTGTGTGAGTGTACTAGTGCGTGAATCATTGATCCATTCCAATTAAAATGCCATTATGTACTGGTATTTTTACCACATGTGCATTACATAATTTTTTATATAATATAAAAATTGCTGAAACTTTCGTCATGCGATCTTTAATTCGATTATCTGAATTTTAAGTTACCTGGTTATCAGGTAGTACCAACTGGTCTGGATAACCAAGGTTGCACTGTACGATTATAACACTTCTGGTTGTAAAGAAAACAGATAAAATCGCCACACACATTCCATTCAGCTGGGCTGTAGGGGACTTGAACCGTGGACCCCACGTGTGCAAGGCCCAAGCTCTACTGCCACACTCATGTTCTGCCTGCACTTAGGCTTGTATCGAGCTCCTCCCTAGGTTGAACTACTGACTTTTTGCAGGATGAAACTCATAACAGTTGCCTAATTCCCATGTACCTATTTACTACTAGGTGAACAGTGGCATCCAGTGAAAGGATGTGCTCCCAACCATTTCTGTCCCATTTGGTGATTGAACCAGGGATCCTTGATTCTGAGTTAACACCACTGTGCTACAAAAGGTTGAGCTGGAGGGATTCACTATTGTTAGTGCTACCATTATTTAGCAGTCTGGGCTAGTGACTCAGTAAGTTTTTCAGTATTAAACTAGGGGTACTTTCCTGTCTATATTCTGGATTGGACTGAGCATTCTCCAGCATCTTCCTAGCTCCAATAAGTTCTAGCAGGAACAGCTTGCAAAATTTCCCACTGTGCTGGTGCAGAATGTTCATATGCCCTGACCAAGACAGAGTCCATCCGTATGTCAGTAGGATCTTGCCTTAAGAAACACCCAAGTGAAATAGCTTAAAAATGGCTGACTTACCTGGTGTTTGAAAACTCGAGGCTGATGAGATTAAGGACTGTCGTTCTGGCGGGACTTAAAAAATACTCAATGAATTCATGTAATTGCATCTTGACATCAGTTTGTCTCTGTACATCAATAACATCCACTTCATGTTCTGAGCCTAAAAAAAAAAAAATAAATAAATAAATAAATAAATGTAAGGGCTATGCAGACTGTCGCAATACTGTAATAACATCCCATTATTTAAATATTATGGGTATATCCAGTACAGAATTAGGTCAATACATTAACACTATCTACCATACATAAGAACTAATATTTATTTTGTCGAGGGCAGGAAGTTTGTGTATACTGTAGTACTGTATGCACTTTAGTCTTATATTGAGATCCCCCAAATGTTGAACTACTGACATTTGCCAGGATGCAGCCCTACAACAGTTGCCCAATTTATGGGTACCAGTTTACTGCAAGGTTAACAGAGGCGTTACGTGAAAGGAAATGTACCCAACCATATCCATCCTCTTCGGGAATCAAACTTGGAATCCTCAATTGTGAGTCAACAATGTAATGTACACCATCTTCAGTTCACCTAAATTATTGGAACCGACTCAAAGCACTCAAAATGTACTCTCGCGAAAGGAGACGAGCGGTATCGTAATAAATACACAGATACTGGAAGACCAGGTCCCAGATATGCACAATGAAAAATATGCACAATCAAAATAACAACCTAGTAGAGTAAAAGATATGGTAGGAAATATACCTGTTCAGTAAAGTCACAACTATAATGATTTGCATAAATCGGTTACAAATAAAGTCTGGGATAGTACAGTAATAGTACAGACTATGAATAACTAAGAGGTGTCAATAAAGAGAATGAAACCAGAGGTGGCAGTAATGTAAGCCAACTCCTTTAACAGCCTAAAAGTAGATATATGCCACAAAAAAAGACTGAAGTCACAGCTTCAGACAACTTCAGTAATAGTTGTAAAATAAAAAAAATTAGGTCCAAAAGGAGGTGGTTACTCCCTACAAACAAAATAAGGTAAAATTATAACAAAAAGTATGCTGTGGACCTCTGGAATGGGATACAGAAAATGCAACCAATAAGATCACAAACTAACAACTATTTACACATTTGCAAACTTACCGACATAATTCTCAACATCAAGGACATTAAAGGAGTCGTGGGGCACGATAAGTTCAAGCCCATTTGTATCTTCAACCAAAATGGGTTTGTGAAACCCATTTGCAATAATATATGGCAGTGTAAGCTGTTGTCCTCTGAGTCTAATAACCACATCTTCAGAACTAGAAAGAAAATACAATTTGTAACATACATCTCTCAATATCACAGCAATCATAACATTGCTGTGAAAACTAAGTTATTTTAACATTTTCATGTGATGGAAGGGTGGAGAAAACAGGATAATGTTGCCCTAAGGGGAAATTTTTATTTTCCTCTTGCAGAATAAATTAAGCAATAAATTTACAAGTAAACCAATAGTCAGACAAAATCATAAACTACACGAGAGCAGTTTACAAAAATTAAAGCTAAAAAAAGAATAAAAAATAAATTAGTCAATATAGGCAAATGACTGTGAAATACCAAGTACACTAATATATATCTTAACACTTTCGCGCTCTCGGCGCTCAAAAAAAAACAATACCCCAGATGCTTTCGGCACTTCGCGCGCCTACGCGGTAAGACCGAAAAAGTGTACACTCTTTTGACTGTCCTGACAATAATTGAAGGCGCACGTATTTAAATTTGGTATCATTGTGTTCGCAACGAAATTATCTATCAGAGCATACCTATAAAATGCCGCCCAAGCATAAGGAGTATCAACACCAAATAAAAAACTATGTAGATCACTTGCTGAGAGCGCCAAACAGCAACAAAATGTTTCCACTTTCTTAATGGTTGCGAAGCCTACAGTTGTCCTACAACGCTAATTTTGGTATCATTGGAATCGCAATAACATTCTCTACACGGACATATGCATATGAATGTTTAATATAGGTAATTGCCCACCCGCAAGAGTGTGTGAAGTGGAGAGTAGTTAGCCGCGAGCGCACTGGCGAAAACACAGGGGGGAAATCATGCTTGGAAAGTTTATATGTTTCCTGACCCTACTTTTCTATGTACGTATTTCTTTTTTATACCAATGTGTTCGCAATAAAATTTCCTATAAGATGAACTGTATAACATTGGTACAAAGCATGTGTAAGAGAAGCGCCAAATATAGAACCACGTCGCTCAGTATGCGTTCGCGGCAGAAACGAACGCATTGTTTTCGTTCGTTTGATGTTTGTCATGTTTATACTTGTTGAAACATTTTATAATTTGTATGACAGTGATCGCAGTAAAATTCCCTACACAGACATATACGTAACACATACAAATATTTCCCACGTGTTGGATATATCAACGGCTAAAGGGAACCCACTGCCACACGTTCGCCACACCCCCAAACATACTTTGTGTATTTTATTTTTTACTCATAGAAGTTTATGTGATATAATATTCATTCTGGTACCAAAAAATTCGCAAATAAATTCTCTACAAAACAAAAGTATCCCCGTCCATTTCGGTTAAAAAATGGAATTTATAGAAATATTTTTTCGATTGACGAGAAAAGTAGGCAGTTATGCGGAATCGTAAGAAAAACCAGTGACGAGTTATCTCTAATATAAAGCGCGAAAGTGTCAATCCTTCTGGTGTACATGGTATTCCAATACATCTTGTTCAGTCTTAATTCCTTTTAAGGGGCCCAGTGCAAAATGTATCAACCTTCCTCAAACACACTCAAATTTGTTATGCAAAGTCTACATGATAAATGCTCCAACTTTTCCCAATGGATCATTATCATAACGAACAGAAAATAAAAAAAATAAAATATTAAAAAAATTGAAAAAATTCACAATTTCAAATTAGAATATCTTATTTAAAATGTCACCAATTTTTTATTTTATTCATTATGGGGTCAGAATGGCATATAAAATTAATTTTCTATTAGAGAAAATTTAGTTTGAGAGATAGGTTATTGAGAAAAAAAATCAATGTGGCCATCAAAATACTGTATGAGCAAAATTTAGGCGCAAAAATATATAACTCCTAAAGTTACTGGTTTATGAATAAATGCTCTAACTGAAACCTTAGAACCAACAACTTTGCATATACAGTAGCACCTCGATTAACAAGAGGCTCTATCTACGAGCATTTCGAGTATCGAGCGAGCCACTCGCAGAACATTCGTCTCTACTAATGAGCTTTTCCTCGATTAACGAGCGTTTCCGCTGGTTCTCGGACACCTTTTACGACAGCTTTGTTGTTGTTTCGCAAGACGAGATTTCCACATGACGAGCTCAGTGCCGGAACGGATTAAACTCGTTAATTAAGGTGCCACTGTAATATGTAAAAATGGTGACAACCACTCAGAAATTGAATTTTTTACTCAGTTTCAAAGTTGGAATCCTGTTCACACAGAAAAATGAGGGTAAACTTCTTGACAATAAATATAGTACAGTAGTTCAAATTGATGTCATATCTTGTAAATTTTAATAAATATTGCTTGGCATTCGTACTCGGATATGTGAAAAATTGTACGTCAATACATATTGAATTCAAGAAAAAATAACCCACCCCCCCAAAATAAATATATATGGATAATTATAATGGGTTAGAGGATATATAAGTATGCTTCATATAAGTGGTAAAGCCCTCATCTAGTCCCCATTCAGCAAAAACAACCTAAAGAGACAAAGAAAATAGAATTTGAAATCTTTGAAAAATTGGGCTAAAAATAAAATTCAGTCACAACTGGCACGTGGATTATTTACATGTTGATCAATTTCATTCCAACTTCACATACTTAGTGACGGGTATGTATTTTCCAGGATGTAAAAGCTACAACAAAATCAAATAAGAAACAAAGGAAAAAAAATGGAGCACAAAGAAATATTGGCATTGGGCAATGTATTTATACAATATTTATTAAAATACAGCAAAGTAACATAATCACTATTATTTTGCCCTCCGGATGGAAATCAACAATCCTAGAAGGTACCAGCTGCATATCCATTTTGTGAACCCTCCTTACTACTACTATTCTTCTTTGTATGTAAGACAGGTGCTTACATCTCTTTATCACAGCATTATCATGAGTTCCACTAACTAGCTGGTGTTATTGTCATCATCAGTACCAATTGCAAACTTTTTATTTTTAAATAATTTAAAATCCATTTCTTAACATATTGCGATGAAATTTTCACGATGCTGATGCCAAATAACATTAGATTTGTTTAACATTTTATACTATATTTCATATTTGGACGAATATATTTTGCACCAGGCCCCTTAACTAGATGCATATACATATACTGTACTTATGCTACTAGCTCTTTCGAAGCGTCATTCAAATTGCTTCTTTTCATGTGAAAAGAATCACATCTAGCAGTCATGCATCAATCCTCCCAAAAAATCCTCCCAACTGATGGTGCTCATCAAACACTGACTCTCATGATGGGTGGTTGTTCAATGCATTTCCCAAATTTTTAGAGGATCAACATACTAAAGCGTGAAGTTAATCGTACAAAGGAGACAGTACTGTATTTAAATTTGTTAAGAATCTTATGATGAAAATTTTATCAAGAATACATACTGTACAAATTTTAAAGTTTAGCAACACAACACAGTTAAATTAACGTAGTGTTATCCTGAATAACTAAAATTAACACAAATTTGACAACAAAATTACAATACACCTGTACATAGTATACTATCCCTGACCACCACCAACTTCTTGCTTATGTTTCTTATTTGTCATATAGCTATTTCCACTCCCTTAACCCATCCAAGCTACTTCAGAAATTAGTTGTCATGTCACGAATACAAAACAAAGTATCCCTACCAGGGATACCTAATAAATACTTACATACCTTGGGAAATGTCTAGTTTTGAGTTCTTTGATAAAAACCTGCGTGCCTGTCTGGACTGGTTTGGTGGCAGCATCTGCCTCAGAGTAATCGTGCCGATGCCAATTTAGACGTGCTTTTACTGAAAGAAGGAAAGATAATATGAGTCTTAATGACAAAAGTATCTTAATCCTTATAACCTAAATACAAAGTATTTCACTGTCTATATTAGACATATTATATATAAAGCATGACAACTACAGGGAGTTCAAAACAAGAGAAAATTCTTCTGAAAAACTTTAAATTTTGTCATTGGCCTGGTAGGAAAAAGGGGTAAAGGGTCCAACAAAATTTTTTACTGGACCAGAGGACATTCACTCCCTCAGGGAGCAACCGAGAAGGATAGCTTAGAAAAATAATGTTATTGTACAATACTGGTATGTACTGTACTTATAATTTTAAAGAAAATATTTAAAATACAGTTTTAAGAAATATGCATTTACATAACAAAACTTGGCTACATATATCAATTTGCATTATTAGTGGCAGACGTAAGTCATTTAAACATTTAATGTTAAAAAAAGACCAGGCCAGAGAGATACAGACCTACTGAACCATATTCAAAGTTTTTTTTTTTTTTTTTTTTTTTTTTTTTTGAGATATATACAAGAGTTGTTACATTCTTGTACAGCCACTAGTACGCGTAGCGTTTCGGGCAAGTCCTTAATCCTATGGTCCCTGGAATACGATCCCCTGCCGCGAAGAATCATTTTTTCATCCAAGTACACATTTTACTGTTGCGTTAAACAGAGGCTACAGTTAAGGAATTGCGCCCAGTAAATCCTCCCCGGCCAGGATACGAACCCATGACATAGCGCTCGCGGAACGCCAGGCGAGTGTCTTACCACTACACCACGGAGACTGTTATGAAGTTATGAAGTATGATCTCTCTTTTAGTGTAAATAGTTTTTAAATAATTACCTGAAATTAAAAGCAGCTCTCGGTGAGGGCATAAAAACAGCAACTTATGTCTATGCTCAGATTCAATAAATTAAATGTAATAAACATTTCTTAAGACCTACATAAAAAAAAAAATATATATTCTAACAGCAACAACACAAAAGAGCCTATATTAATTGTAAATACTGTAGATGAATACACATGTGTAGCTTACAAACAGATGGCCCATTATATGCTTCACAACGTGGACAGTGAAATCTGTCGATATCTACGGCCTGATATTCTCGTACTCCAACGCATCTGCAATGCAATGAATAAATACATTACCATCCAGCACGCAACGTATGTGGAGAAAAAAGTATTTTACAAAGAAATATCTTAGTTCTGAACAAGCTATTGTACAGTACTTTAAACATGAAATTAAATGAGGCACATGAATTCGGCCAATTGCTAGGAGGCATTCAAGTGTCGCCCAATGTTCAAATATTGATACAGTAGTTCGCAGAGACATTTCCAATCACAAAAAGAATGCCATGGTGTCTTACACTACTGTATCACCATAAACAGTCTGAGTACAGGCTAATCATTGGTATCATAACAACATGTCTTTGTTGGGATACAAATGTGTTCTGTACATAATGCATTCGTAACTTACTAACACTACCTTGCATTTATTTCTCTATTACTAGACCATTTGCAATAATCACTGCCCAACCCGTCCTTGACTCAAGTCCATTACATCCAACAGTTGACCCCCCCTCCCCCAAGATGCATTCACACATTTTTACATTCTGTTCATTCAAAACAGGAATTTTCTCAAATATAAATTAAGATTATAATATATTAGCACATTGTGCATACAGTATATATATATAGGCATAGGTTAGGTTAGGTAAGGTGTTTAGGTTCTGTTGGCAATTATTTGTAGTATGTGGGTGAAGCATGTACAGAGTTGTGGTTCGAACAAAATTTGTCAGTGAAGCACTTGTTTCGTAAGTGTTCGAACGAAATCAGTTGCGAGTCGTGTGTAAACCGTTTTTCATTCATAAACAGGTGGGTTTGGCGGGTGCATGGAATTTCGTTTGGGTCTTTGTTTGGAGGACAGGCTGTCACTGTAACATATAGGAGTTGATCACATGACTGAGAAACTCCTCCTCAACCTACCAAGCCAACACACTTTACAATACTTGAAAGGTGTTAGGTACAGTTGGTTTCATTCTTGACAAACAATCAAGGCTCCTGGATACAAATTCCAGGCGGGACAGAGATGGTTGGGCATGTTTCCTTTCACCCCATGTGAAATTCATTTAATAGTAAATATATACCCAGGAATTAAGCAACTGCTGTACTCGCCTAGTTGTGCCTCCGGGGGTTGAGCTTCAGCTCTTTGGTCCCGCCTCTCAACCAATATATCAATAGGTGCAGAGGTTCCTGTGCCTATTGGGCTCCAATATATGTACACTTAATTATCTATTACCTTCTGCACCTTTAGGAGCTGCAGAAGTCCAGGTGTGGGAGCGTCCTCCGCGGCCTCACAGTCCGCAGCTCAAACCCAATTATTTAGAAAGAGTCAAGGTCAGTGCCTTGGATCACCTGCTGGGGTCACGACGATTTTCAGGTTGACCCCACGAATTCATTCTTCTTATGGAAGCCGTCGTAGCCCAGCTGTGGGTATCCCTCCCTCCTTCCCTCTCACGGTCCTTCCTTCCTTTCCTCCCTCCCTCCCTCTCTCGCTCGCTCCTTCCCTCCCTCCCTCTCTCGCTCGCTCCTTCCCTCCCTCCCTCCCTCTCATGGTCCTTCCTTTCCTCCCTCCCTCCCTCACTCTGTTGTTCCTTTCCTCACTCCCTCCCTCTCTCGCTCCTTCTCTCGCTCCTACCCTCGCTCTTTCCCTCACTACCTCCCTCTCTTGCTCCTTTCCTCACTCCCTCCCTCCCTCTCTTGCTCCTTTCCTCATTCCCTCCCTCGCTCGCTCCTTCCCTCACTCCCTCCTTCCCTCCCTCTCTTGCTCCTTCCTTCACTCCCTCTCTCTCTCTTGCTCACTTGCTCCTTCCTTTCCTCCTTCCCTCTCTCGCTCACACGCTCCTTCCCTCCCTCCCTCCCTCTCTCACTTGCTCCTTCCCTCCCTCCCTCCCTCCGTCCCTCCCTCCCTCTCTCGCTTACTCCTTCCCTCCTCCCTCCATCCTTTTCTCGCTTGCTCCTTCCCTCCCTCCTTCCCTCTCTCTCTCTCTCTCTCTCTCTCTCTTGCTGTTTCCCTCCCTCCCTCCCTCTCTCTCGCTGTTTCCATCCCTCTCTCCCTCTCTCTCGCTGTTTCCCTCCCTCCCTCCCTCCCCCTTTCAGCCTGGCAACTAATGTCACATGAATCCCCTGCATAGCAGTGGAACTGCCTTTCCTACTCACCCTCAATGCCTCTGTACTGGAAGTTCACCTTAACACCAGCCCAGATGAGTCATCAGTCCTGCCACCTCTCACCTCTCCAAACCCCCCCAGGGTATGGCATGACCTGGTATGACTCTGTGGCAAGCTGAGCGCCTCCGCTAACTGGTAGTTTGCCTTCACAAACAAGCAGTTAGCCACCTTCAACTAGCAGTGGGGAGCCTCAACACAAAGGCCCCACCAGCCACAAACTAGCAGTTTACTAGTAGTGCTTGTTACCACCTTGCGTCAACACCGGACGAGTCTCACCGCCAGACTATATAAAGGGCACCGCCTCTCTACAGAGCCAGTCTCTCTCTCAGTGCTCTTGGATCACCTTAGCCTCCTGCAACACCATCTGCCCTCAGCCTACGTCATGTGCTGGATGTTGTGTTCAGCACACCAGTATACTCTTGTATTAGATTTAAACTTTCCATTTACTTATTTTATTTATTTATTTATTTATTTGTTTATTTATTTTATTAGAAGGCAGCCAAGTGTTCTCAGGTGCCATTTTTGTTCATTAATATTTCAGTAAGTTGTTTTAATTATTTATTTGATGATTTTAATTTGTTTCCACCTGCGACTTAAATACTGCAAGGGCCAATAGTGTAATTTTTTGTTTATGTGATGGAGAGCCATACCACCTTAGTTCAGTATAGCTGCGATACCACAACCCGTCACACTAGTCTTCTGATGCAAGTGAAGGAGCAATATATGAAATATCACTAAATCATATGGAACACCACTAAAGAGTATAGACATACCCTGTTACCACGTATAAGTTAATATCTGACTTTAATGATTAATGGCTCCTAAGAATCCAATCACAAAATACTAGTACATGTATACCTATTGCAAGTCACCATTCCACTTCAAGGTTAGCATTTTTTTTTTTTTACTCTTTAACAAGAGCTGTATTGCCATTTTTTCTTACTTTAAATTACAGGAACAAATCTTTGTGTAAATTTACACCACCAACCAAAACATAAATAATACATTTTTAATATACAAAACTGGTCAATAAAAGGAAGAGAACAAATAAATTATTACTTACCTTGTGGATGAGCAGCATTATCCTTGTTACCCTCCATAGGCAAAATGCAGGCATGCAGCACAGTAGACTGTATGCAATACATATGTTAAACTCCCACACCATGCTGCTGCATACATCAACTGTCAGCAGCCTCATCTAACTCCTCACACACTTGATTTCTTGGTCATTTTTCTCTTTGACCCATTACCACCAGCACTCTCTCTCACTTTGCATTGAGCTCGAAAACCTTAATTTTCTGTCTATTAATACTAGAAACCATACTAGTGGCAATACCAAACTTCTCTGCCAGCCACTTCATTCCCAGGCTTACTCACTCTGTCACTTGATCTTTCTCTTCCATGTTAAGACAACTCGCCTATGCACTACTGGTTTAACCCGAGTACTATACTGCTCATAAAAATATTTTCTACTAACAAATAAAAAATGAAATTTCCAAAGGAAAGTGGGTAAACAGACTTGAGTAATAGAGCTAGGCTACATCACATCACCACAGATAGAAAAGAAAATGTCAGAGACATCCATTTAGCCTACAGCAAGGCTACAGCCACTACAGAAAATAATGGCATCTAGTAGCCTCTCTAAACCATGGGCCTGTAAACTGCCGCACAACAAGATTTGATCTGAACCGCAGTATCTTGAAATATACTGTATATAAATAATATAATTACGGTATTCCCTTCCTTTTTCTGTCACCCACACAACCTGGCAGCTGATACATCTATTTCCTATCCGCCCCACACTCTTTTTCCCATATGACACCAAGCCAAAGTGAATGGCGAAGTCTTATTTTCAATCAATTGCACAATATTTTTTTTTTTTGGGGGGGGGGGGGTTTGGCATTAGTGATGGCACCGTGTTAATTTTGGACACCTTTCACTTGTTTTAAAGAATTTCTTTAAGTGATGCATGTTTATTGTCCTGAGGACCACAAAATTGGACAAATAATCATTTCAGATAAACATTTGTAAAATTTCAGTAAATAATTAATAAAAAATGAATAGCCTGCTTTTCTCATCTGCAGCTAATTTAATGATTCTTTTATCATCACATTGGCTAAGGTCTGACATTTTTATTCATTATACTGTAGTGTGAACAGGGGATTTCTTCATTGGAATCGTCTTATTTTCTTTTTGTTCTGAATCATATCATGCCAATTTCCCCAAAGATTAAAATAAAACTAAATTATTCATTTATAAAACAAGTTTTCCATTGACCCACAAAAATGCGTGAAATAATTAGTTTTGTCAGGGACAGGAAAAATGCGTAAAATAATTAGTTTTGTCAGGGACAGGAAACATGCGTGTATGTATGTCCTTTAGGCTTGTATCGAGGCTTCCTCAAGGTCAAATTACTGATCCTCCTGAGAATGCAACCTAACAACAGTTGTCAAACTTTTTGGGGCCTATTTATTGCTAGGTGAATAGATGCATTAGGTGAAAGGAAATGTGCCCAACCTTTTCCGTCCCGCTTGGGAATGAAACTCATGAATACTCGATTGTGAGTTGAAAATGAAGCTAATTGTACTTTGGCCCTCGTAATATAAAGTTTGTAGACCCCCTGCTCTAAACAATTACATAATTTTCAGTAATATTACAGAGAGGTAAAACACTGCCAAAAATGAATACAAATTGTTTTGCAGTATTTGTAATTGCTAAAATGAGTAAAATGAGTAAAAATAAAACAATTATACCTTATTTTCCTGTACCTGTATGGGAACGAGTACACCTTGTCTGGACAGTCTTCCTAAACCCCTTTTCTTGCTTCGTTGGGTGGATTGTGCACACCACATTCAATTCCAATAAGAGTTATTTCACTAGCATATACAAGGGGCCTGACAGCCGAGTGGACAGCGCTTGGGATTTGTAGTTTCAAGGTTCCGGGTTTGATTCCTGGTGGAGGCGGAAACAAATGGGCAGTTTCTTTCACCCTGATTCCCTGTTCACCTAGCAGTAAATAGGTGCCTGGGAGTTAGACAGCTGCTACGGGTTGCTTCCTGGGGGGTGCATAACAAAAAAGGAGGCCTGGTCGAGGACCAAGCAACGGGGACGCCAAGTCCCGAAATCGTCTCAAGATAACCTATAATCTTCTTACATTCTTGTAAAGCCAGTAGCACGCATAGCATTTCGGGCACATTCTTGATCCTAATTTTTACCTCGAACATGACCCACTAAATCTTTTAACACCGAAATACCCATTTACTGCTAGGCGAAGAGAAACTACAGTCAATCCTCCAAGGCCAGAAAACGAGCCCAGGCCAAGACGCTCGTGAAGTGCTGGGCGAGTGCTTTACCACTGCACCACAGGATTGTTAGTACTTAAGTTAAATGCTAGTCATCTACTTAAATTTATATATTATTCCTTTTATGTGAGGGAATGTAAAATATTATTAAGGAGCCTGCTGCCCGTGCCCTGCTAAACGTTGCCCAACCTGACGAGCCCAGAAGCAAAAGAATTTTTTTTTTTTTTGCATATGGAACAATAGTCCCGAGTTTTCACACCATTGCCACGACAGTAGAGGTATGTATAATCTACACTGTGATTGACCAGACTCGTCTAGCATAGGCCTAGGCGCCAGGAGAGGAGAGGAGAGGGAAGGCCAGGGCTGACCCCAGCAAGACAGCTGTAACAGAACACATCTGCCCAACACCTGGGCTGCCTCGGCCTACGTGACAACTCACCCTCCTCCTAGTTTTTCAGTTACGATACAATAAAACACACTCTTTCCCATCGCTACCCTAATATACCGTACAAATCTTACTCTGTGGCGTCGGATCACCCTCACAGTCTCCATAATTTTAATACTATTACGTAAAAACTGACACTTAATATCAGCCTCGAGCACCAGAGCGCCTGAGAATTTCCTTCATTACGACACATAGTGTATATAGTCTGCCCTCGTCTCTCACATATTATCAACCGTATGCTTACCTTCCGTGAAACCAGTCTTTACAAATATCACATTGTATCATAAAACGGGACAAATCTGTAGATTGCCCACATAAACAATAAATAACGTCCAACGCCATTTTGCTCAAAACAACACGCATCTGTGTTATCCCAACTCGCCACAATTACACTTCAGCTAAGATGTTTTCTTGACAACTGTTATTTTGGTGTTTAATTGCAAGCAATGTTATTAATATATAATTTTGGCCGTAAAACGCAAAGTGACTGAGTTAGTCAAGGGTTTATATGCAGCAGATGCTGCTGGGAGAGGGGACGCGGTCCAATATGATTATCATGACATTCACATTCGTTATTTACTTATTTTTATATTTACAAGAAGGTACAATGAGTTTAAAAAAAATAAGGTGCATGGATACAATGATTTCAAATCAACACAGTGTATAGCGACACGTAATTAACACATTCAGAATCATTCAGAACTATGTTTACCTCATATGTCAAAGTCAAAAACTCAAAATAAAAAATCTAAATCAAAATGTTTATTCAGGTAAAAGTACATTCACAGAAGATGAGATACAAAAATAATGTTGGATTTATAGATAGAGCTAGTACATACAATACCTAAAGCCACTAATAAGCACAGCGTTTCGGGCAAGATGTTGGGCGAAAAAAAACCACTTAAACTAAATCTTAATTAATACTATTTGAGATTAAAAGTATAAATTGTGTTGAAAACCAGTAATGGAATATGCGACTCCAGCCTCCACATCTAGTCAAACACAAACCGAAGTTAGAAAAGGTTCAAAGGTATGCCACCAGGCTAGTCTTCGAGCTGAGAGGTATGAGCTACAAGGAAAGATTACCGGAACTAAACCTCACGACACTGGAAGACAGAAGAGTTAGAGGGAGACATGATCACTACCTATAAAATTCTAAAATGAATTGACAGGGTAGGTAAAGATTAACTGTTTAGCACGGGTGGTATGCGAACAAGGGGACACAGGCGGAAACTTAGTACTCAAATGAGCCACAAGGACGTTAGAAAGAACTTTATCAGTGTCAGAGTAGTTAATAGATGGAATACATTAGGCAGTGAAATAGTGAAGGCAGACTCCATTCACAGATTCAAATGTAGATATGATTGAGCAGAGTAGGCTTCAGGAATCTGTACACCAGTTGAGAGGCGGGAAGCAAAGAGCCATGGCTCAACCCCCTGCAAGCACAACTAGGTGAGTACACAAGTGAAATGGTACCTTAAACACTTCCTGGAAGACTGTAGTCGCCACACGTGGAACAAATATAGCTTTGATATTCCTAGATAAGAGTGAGACTCAACTAAAGTAAAAATACTATCGAAATCAAGGGTCCCAAACTGTGGAATGATCTCCCAAATGTAGTTAAAAGCTGTACGTCTCCCAACCAGTTTAAAAGAGAGACTAAGAAATATAATTCATTGAGTCAGGGAACAGGCAGGCAGTTTATACATACCGTATATGTTAAAATTATATCGAGGTCCATTACCCTCAAAGTCGAATTACTGACCCTTCCCAGGATGGGAAGGGTCTTATCATAACAAGCTGACTAACTCCTGGGTACATATTTACTGCTAGGTGAACATTAGGTGATAGGAAACGCACCCAACCACTTCTGTCCCGCCCGGGATTCGATCTCGTCTCAATTCTCGATTGTGAGTCGAGAACGAACCCGACTGTACTACCGGGACCCTGAATATTTACTTAATACCATGTAATTCATTCTAATCATTCTACTAATCTTTCATTCTACTTTGCTCTGACGAAGCGAATTAAGTCGAAAACGCGTTAAGCATTCTCTATTTTATTTTGTTTATATGTACAAGAGTTGTTACATTCTTGTAAAGTCACCAGCCCGCATATCGTTTCGGGCAGGTCCTTAATCCTAAATTTCCCCGGAATACGACCCGCCAAATCGTTTAACTAGATACCCATTCACTAAAACGGGCTCACCATAGCCCGTGCTACTTGGAACTTGTTCGTAGTAGGAGGAATCTAAAACAACAACAACTGCTGGGTGAACAGAGGCTATAGTTAAGGATTGGCGCCCAATCAATCCTCCCCGATCTTCTTCTTGAGGTTATCTTGAGATGATTTCGGGACTTAGCGTCCCCGCGGCCCGGTCCTCGCCCAGGCCTCCTTTTTGTTACACACTTCCAGGAAGCAGCCCGTACCAGCTGTCTAACTTCCAGTTAACATATTTACTGCTAGGTAACAGGGGCATCAGGGTGAGAGAAGCTGCACATCTGTTTCTGCTATCGCCGGGGATCGATCCCCGGTCCATAGGACTACGAATCAATAGCGCTGACCACTCAGCTACAGACCCCCCCCCCCATCCTGGATAAGATAAACATAAGCCAGAAATATTTGTTTCATTATACTTTTTATTTAACTAACAAGTGCATCATGATAATATTTTGATAAATTTAAACCATGGTTTAAATGGTTTAACCTTCAGCAGGTGACGGAGTAGCTGTGGTGACCTCCAGCAGGTGACGGAGTAGCTGTGGTGACCTCCAGCAGGTGACGGAGTAGCTGTGGTGACCTCCAGCAGGTGACGGATTCTGTGGGGGACCTGTAACGAATGTGAAACAGAGAAAGAGAGAAATGGAGAGATTTAGGAAAGGGAAAGAACCACATAGAGGGAAGACGAGTGACGTGGAGAGTGAGGAATTCAGGAGATGATAATAATAATAATAATAATAATAATAATAATAATAATAATAATAATAATAATAATAATAATAATAATAATAATAATAATAATAATAATAATAATAATATTTTATTTACAAGAAAGTACAATGGGTTGGTGAGATTACATTAAAGTGATATTTTTACATTCTTGCAAAGCCATTAACACGCATAGCCTATCGGGCGGGTCCTTACTCTAACATATCAGGGAAGATGACAAAGTACATTGTAGCAGGTTTTATATCAACAATATAAATTGACAAAGGTGATTACAGCGGTAAAGATTAAATAGTTAATTAGTCTTAAGTACTAATATTAGGGAAGTGGGTAGTACAAGGTACAGCGTGAGTTTGAAGCACAATGTAGGAAAATTAGGTACTTTTTGGTTTTACTTTTGAACAGGGCATAGGTTGGATAATTTTTTTATTTATCAGGGAGTGAGTTCCAAAGACTGGGCCCTTTCATTGTGCATGGAGTGTTTGCACAGATTTAGTCTGACTCTGGGGATATCAAAGATATATCTATTTCTGGAGTGGTGCTGTTGGGTTTTATTACACCTATCAAGGAAAAGTTTCAGATCATGATTAGCATTTAGGAACAAGGTTTTGTACATGTAAATAGCACATGAGAATGTGTGGAGTGATTGTATGTTTAGCACGTTAAGGGACTTAAACAGAAGGGCTGTGTGTTGTCTGAAGACAGAGTTTGTTATAGTTCTGATAGCAGATTTTTTGCTGAGTGATGATAGGCTTGAGGTTCAACCTCAAGCCTATCAATTGAAGATAGGTTCAACCACTCCTTGCAGTGGTTGAACCCCATGCACATATACCGTATGTAAGATAGGATAGATTAGTACGTAATACAATGGGAGGAGAACAGAGTGGGGAACATAATATCTGATTTTAGAAAGTAAACCAACCGTTTTTTGATACTTTTTTTAGTTATGTGTTGTATGTGGGTGCTGAAGTTCAGTCTCTTGTCTATGTATTGGCTAAGGAACTTCCATTCATATTTATTGGCAATGTCAACAATGTCAATCTGAAGATGAAGATGATTTGGTGATTTACCACCAAATAAAATGTAGTAGGTCTTTTTTATGTTTAGTGTAAGTTTGTTGGTTGACATCTATGAGTGGACTTTTTTTTAATTCATTGTTGACAATGTTATTTAGCGTGTGGAGGATGGGGCCAAAATAGATGAAGGTAGTATAGTCATAAAATAATATAGGTTTAAGAATGCTGGAAACATTTGGAAAATCATTGATATATATAAGAAATGGAAGAGGTCCTAAGATGCTGCCCTGTGGCACTCCTACTGTCAATCGTAGAGTGGGGAAGGTTATGCTATTGATGGCTACATACTGATGTCTGTCACTACCATAACAATAACAAACTCTGTTTTCAGACAATACACAACCCTCCTGTTTAAATCCTTAAACATGCTAAACATAAACTCATGCCACACATTCTCTTGTACCATTTACATGTACAAAACCTTGTTCCGAAATGCAAATCCTGATCTGAAACTCTTCCTTGACAGATGTAACAGAACCCATAATCACTACACCAGAAATAAATATATCTTTGATATTCCCAGAGTCAAACTAAATCTGTGCAAACACTCTATGCAAATTTAGGGACCTAGCCCATGAAACTCACTCCCTAAGGAATTGAAAAAAGCTATCCAACCTACGCCTTATTCAAAAGTAAAACCAAAAGTACCCAATTTCAACCTCATAGTTTCCTACCTATTAGGTAGATTTGATATTGGTCTGTAATTATTTATGTTAGCTGTCTCGCCGCCTTTATGAACTGGCGTCACTCTTGCTTTTTTAAGGATATCAGGGAAAGAATGACACTCTAGAGATTTGTTGAATAGCAGAGCTATGGGTAGTGCAAGAGCAGGGGCAGCACTCTTATATGTCATAGATGGTATTTCATTAATGTTCTCAGCTTTGGTTTTAAGTAATTGAATTATGGTTATAATGTCTGTGGGGCTGACTGGTAAAAGAAGTTAGGATAGCTGCTGGTGTGATATGTAGTAACATGTGTCTGGGTCTCTGGGAATTTTCTGGCAAGGTTAGCACCAATTGATGAAAAGAAGCTATTGAATTCAGTTGCAATATCTCTCTGTTGCAAGTGTGTAACCATCTTTGAAGAGTTTTATTTGCTTGTTATGTGATTGTTAGCACTGTCGATAGCACTGATACGGAAAGTTTAGAGAAAATGGGATGAAGGGTAGACTTAGAAAGACAGTAGGGGAAGATGAGTATATATGAGTAGAAAGAAGAGAGTTGATAGAGGCAGAATTGCCACCATCCATTCATCAGTTTACCAGACAAGGAATGGAACCCGTCTTTGTTCAACAGTTCTGTGGGGACTCCAGCAGGTGGTGGGGTAGTTGTGGGGACTC